GGGGTGAATGCTTTTCCAGCAGCCCCAAGCCCAGGGAGCAGAATAGCCCCAATAGATGTACAGTAAACCCTTTCCACTGACACAGGAGGTGAGGTAGGTCTGAGGGAGAGCCTTAAGCTGTGAACACTCACTTCCACTGTCCTGGTCTAGGAATTGCTCTCAGGGGTGTGAAAGGTCCGCTGCCCTGAAAGACGTAGTTATAGTGACCTCACCGCCAGTGTAGTCAGTGCTAGGTCACTAGAATAAATCTTCTGTTAAACTAGCTGCTGCCTCTCAGAGATGGATTACCGACGCTGATGAGAGAAGCCCTCGCTGTGGCATAGGTAGCACCCAAGCAGTGCATCCATTGCCAGCTGTTAGTCACTGAGTGACCCTGGGCAAGTCATTTCACCCTTCTATGTTTGTTTCCTCAACCATGATTATCTGACAGAAGTGGTTCATGCTTTGAGAGCCTTGTATGAAAAATGCTGGAGAAATGCAGTGCTAAGTATTCCCTACTCCTTTCTGTTCTGACAGGAGGATGTGTTGTGAATTTCATTTTTGTTAATAAAGGCTTTATGAAACCAGATCCCTTACTGAGGCTGCTGTAAGTGGACAAAATGTGAACAAAATTAACTCCTGCTGAACTGTCTTTTCAGAAGCACATTTAAGCTAAGGACTTCACTTTTGACGTTAAATTGTATTGCTGGGAAAATGTTCTCTGAAATGGACTGAAACACAGATGGTTTTCTCCTAACCCTATCGTGACTGTGCATGTTGAAAGAAGCTTTTCAGTTACAAATATACATTATGTGTGACAGCTTAATTTTACATATTGCTGCTTTTGAACAGATCAAAGTGGAATGAGGCCAGATGGACTGAGGGGAAAAAAACAATTACTACTAAACTTTTACATTCAGCCAAGGTAGATGCTGTTCAAACACTAGACAAGAGAGGTCATTGGATGGTATTGAATTGCTTTCCCATCCCAAAATACTACCATGTACATGTTTTCAGCTGCAAACCACAGCACTGTCTCATGATCCGTAAGAGCTGCAGGATTCTTGCTGTATAAGATCTGCTGTTGGGCTGTTGCCAAATTTATTCCACTCTGCTAGCCAAATTAAATGGAGGACAGAGCCTAGCAAAGTCTACCCTTTAACTGCCAGATAATGTTAAATGAGATTACTAGTAGATTAACCTGTTTAAAATAGTCTGTCCATTCATCTTTTAGGCAGCAGCATGTTAATCTGAACCATTTGTTATGGTCTTCAGTTTTCAATAGGAGACTTTTTTTAAAAAGGGAAGAAAAACTTAAGTGACTTTAGTGCTATGGACTTGACAGCCATGGTGAATGAACTCTTCTATCCACGGATCAGGTACAGTACAGGCAGCAAGCCACAGAGCTCTTCCTCCAGTGTCCTGCCCAGGTTATAGAGCCCTGTCCTGGAGCCACCACCTGCACAGGGCTAGAAATGACTTCACTACAAACGTAGCTGATCTTTTGCTCCATGTTGAGACTGGCAACAGGGCCAATTAGCTTCAGTAGTGATGGTGGACTTTGTGAGACTTGGAATGCAATACTGTGCTCAGACTGTACAAACAGTGATGCAGAAATCTGTCCATCACACTGCAGTGCAAGTCCCCAAACTCATTTCCCACATGCCACCAACTGGCCACTTGGTAACTACCATCACTATTAACCAGTGCCCTAGAAGTGGAAAGCTCCTTATCCTGCCACTGGGGTCTTGTTGCCTTTCTGCTCTTCCGCACACCACATCCTTTGAGCTGTACATGTGCATAGATGGGAGGAGTCTACAGATGCAACACGTCAGAACAGTGCTGAATTGAAAACAAAGTGCAAAAATTAGTGGAAACAAAGTTGTATATATTACAATAAAATAAGCTTGCAATGCTGGCTTCAGTGCCATTGCTGAATATACAGAACATGACATGAATGTTACAATGCAGAGACGTGAAACCCAGTCACAGTTAAACTGCTCTCCTTTTTAATCAGTTTTTACAGAATGATATAATACATTAATAATCACAGTAGAGACAAGATGGGTTTCCTGTATACAAGATTGTGCAAGCTCATTAATTTAAAATGTTAAAGGCTTTACCAGTTTCAAGAGAGGCAGTACAAAGCTTTTAAATAGAGGTGAAGCACAATTAAAGGTACAGAACACACAATAGTAACTCAGCAATTAATTCTCAAGTAGTACAGGCTCAACCAAGCTATCAGCTGTTACCCAAATAGAAGGAGTACTTTCCCCTTCCTACAGGCCACTCTTTTTTCTGCTGCTCCAGGTTCTCCTGCCACACAGCTAGCCTAAGACAACAAGGAGTCTGGTGGCACCTTAAAGACTAACAGATTTATTTGGGCATCCGAAGAAGTGAGGTTTTTACCCACGAAAGCTTATGCCCAAATAAATCTGTTAGTCTTTAAGGTGCCACCAGACTCCTTGTTGTCTTTGTAGATACAGACTAACACGGCTACCCCCTGATACTTGACAGCTAGCCTAAGGCTGCTTTATATATATAAAAATATATATATGCCACATAAATTACTAGACTTTAGACAAATATGCTTCACTTTCATGCAGCTTTGAGAAGCGGGACTGCTCTTGACTGCTTCCCCTTTCTTAGTCTACTAATTTCCCTCGACAAACTATTCAGCATTAACATAGCAACGAAATCGCAAATTTCTGCTAGAATTTGGCTTAATAGAACATCAACATTTTCACACTAAATCTGATCCAACACTCGGTGCTCACCACAAACTCACCGACAGGAAAGAGGACTGTGTTTGTGGCTTCTTCCTAACATGTATGGCAGTTACATTCAGTATTTGGCAGTACCAAAAAAAGGCCATGCATTGCAATTCTTCTTGAAGAACAAGCTTTAAAAAGAAAAGTCAGGGGTTAGAAGTAAAAGGGGATTCCCCGGCAGATGAAAGAGCCAAGCCTCTTCCCTCCTGCTCCCCATGCCAAGAAAGGAAAAGAATGCCTTCGTAACATGTATGTGCCCAATCATATGAAATCACAGACAGGTGAGTACTCCTTACTCCTACAGGCAGCACCCTGAACTTCAATAATTGGGCCTTGAGTCTGCATATATGATCTGCTATTAATAACCCACTCCCCACCTCCCAAAACATTTTTCAGTTCACTGTTAAGTGGCTGAAGTAATTCTAACAGCAAGCACTAAAGTTCTGAGTACTGATTCAATGCAATGTGTGTGCGCATGGCTGGCTGGAGCCTTTTGGCAAAACAGTTCTTTTACTGTTTGGTCCTTAATGTGCTTTCCATCTTTATTTTCTTACTATTGCACAACAGAAAACGTAAAGTCATCTTCCTGTACATATAATTTAACATTTTAAAACAAAATCAGGACACCAGGAAAAAATAGACACACACATTACAATAAGATGCCTAATTCTTTGGAAAGCCTAATTCTTTTACTACATTTATAACAGTGTATAAAAGGCTTTTATAGCAGGTTAAAAAAGAAGCAAAGGACCATTCTGCTGTGAAGATTCTTACCTATATTGGGGCTTATACAAATATTTACCATTTTTAAAATAATTTTATTTAAAAAATTGTTCAAGTTCTTCAGTAACTTTTCTATACAGAAAAGCAGCAAAGTGATACAAATGTGAAGAAAATGGTTTTTGCCAGGAGAAAAAACTTTCCAGTAAAGAGAATAAATCCTGAAGACCTGATCAAGCTGATCACAGAATCATAGATCAACTCCTTTGTGTCCAGACTGCTCATAATAAAAAGGTAAAATGCATGATAATCATTGACTATCATTTGCTCCCCCTTAGAGAGCTTTGTGCCAAATGTTAAATATAAGAAAACAATTTAGAATAAGACAGGTTTTAGAGACGAAATATTCTCCGTCACTAAAACCAAAAATTGCAGAATTAAGTGTACGTCAGTAGTTTGATATCAACGCAGCAAATTCTCAGTGATAATTTAACACAATAGAACACTTCTGAATTGTGGCATAACAAATGTACGTTGCTTTTAGATGTAATTCTGGCTCTCTCTTAAAGGGCAGTATTGTGCTTCGCTGCTGAATGTTATTGGTTAGGGCTGTGAATACTATACATTAGCACCAAAAAACCATGACGGCTAAACAACTAGAGTATTACAATGCCATTCAGACTCAAGATCACAGTAAAGCAGACTACAGCAACTCCATTGCTACTAGAAAGTATTGCTGTACCCTGTAAGTCTATAATAGCGGAGAAAGACTATAAACAAAACTTAAAACAAAAAAATACCATCTCACTTGATTCCCCATGATTTATTTAACATGATAAAAATGATATATTGAATTACACATTAATGATTAAGTCCTTGAAAACAAAGGTTTCTTTCACTGAATTATGCCTAGATGGGTAACACAATCACATCTCAATCACTTAATACTGTACATAGATTGTTCTAATTTCAGTTAATGACTCTCAGAAGTAATAGTTACTTAGATTTTTATGGATTCCCTTTTTAAACAACTCACGTGGCTTCTAACATGTGGTATGTTGGCCTTTTCAAGTACTCAAAAAATCTTCAACCCATTTTTAAGTAGTGTTTAGAAATATAAACTGTTCTTCTATTTAAAGAAGGGATGCAGATTATGTCATTTCTTTTACCGCTCAAAGCCAGCACATCTGGCTCACCTCACTGCCAGCAAAGTGATGTGCACTGGGAGGAAGAGGAGAGAGCGAGGAGTAATGCCAGCATCAAGGGGTTAAGCAGTGTGCCTTTTACAAAAGAAATTGATCGCCATCCTTTTTTAGATAGATCTACAAGAACAAAGGCCAGTGACCACTCACAGGCATATAAGAAATGGCTTGGGCCAGCTCTGGGAACTCTATCATTTTGCTGGTCAAGGAAGTGCACCTGCTCTTCTCATAATTGTCAGTTTCAAATGGGAGAGGGGTGAGAGACATTTGCAAAGATTCCCTGAACTGATTTCATGATGTGTTTTATAAAGGACAACGTGGTACTTTAAAATATTTTATATGAATAGTAAAACCTGCACTGCTAGAGAAGACAATACAAAGAACACATAGTAAAAAAACATTCACTGAAACCCCTGGCATGTGTATTTAATGTGAATAATCAAAATATATATTACAGTTTCAGGTTCTGTAAGGAATTCTGTTTGGGGTTTGTACAGTATACACAGTATTTCAGATGAAAAATATTACAATAAGGTATATACTATTCCTTTTTATATTAGAACTTCTCCATTGAAACTTACAGCCCCTCTCTGCTATAAATCCAAACTATTTATTTAAAATGCTCTAATTCCCGAGCCAAAAATTTTAAACTTTCGAGTGAGAGCCCTGTGAATTGTAAATTCCAGTTTCAGAAAGTTCTGTAAACTTTATTAAATTTTAATAAATATTTAGGTTTGCCCTTTTTAAACTTATTCTATTGAGGAAGTCATCTCATTACCCAATACAGTATGTCACAACCTGCTGTAGGAGAGAGAAACTGCTTGTTTGCTGGTTGGAAGGATAATGAGTCCAAAGATGACTGCAGTTTATTAAATATTATATAATATATTTACATTGTCCCCAGGTTTTAATTTTACCATAGGTGAAGTACAATTTATAATTATGTCAACTGCTACAAACTTTCAGTGCAGCTGGTGTTTTCTTACAAAAGGTGTATTAAGCTAGAAAGGTTCTTAAAAGTGCTTGCCATGATCTTTTTGGTTGGAAACAAAGAAAATGAATGAATTTACATCAACAGAAGTCTAGGGGAAAAATAGTGTGTGTGAAAGGGGCAGTGACAGCAGAGTTTCCTAAACGATTTTGAGAATCCACAATACCTGAAAAATGTGGTCCCTTTTTCCCGTGCTAATCCCTAAAGGGGGGAAAGATGCAACCAAAACAGAGAGGAAAGAAAACCTGTTAAATTAATTAATCTGATTAGTTAAATTTTTTTTTTTAAACGCTTCCACTCTGTACAATATTATACAAGGAAAGTATTTCTTCAGCCTTTGAAACAGTCGATATACATTCTTACAGGCTCTTTGCTGCTAACAGTCTGTCTACATAGGTGCCCTTTTGGGTCACTTACGATCATCAATGGTTTTAATAAATTCAACTGCTGCTGTGAACTGCATCCACCAGTAAGATTCTTCTCCAGTTAAACAGTTAGCATAGAAGCTACTAATGTACTGAACAGTGGACAACAAGCAGGGTGGGTTTGCCTGGGGGTGAAAAAGAAAAGGTAAATGCCACAATTAAGTTTGAGACCGACGTTTTAAAGAGAAGTGTTACAAATATAATAGAACAGAAATGGAATGTTATGTATATAAGCACCCCTCAGCCTAGGTTTTGATTATTACATACTGGTAGGGCAGTGACTGTGCAGACAAATACAGACACCATTCCACACACAGAAGCAGCTCCTTGAGCACCGTATGCAAGAACTGGCTTTGCTAAGGAGGAATGCTGGCCAACGCACTAAGGTTAACACTTATTCTCTCCAGAAAGAGTCCCAGGATCTTTAAAATTCCCTCCAGTCACCTGTGACTTCCACTGGTACAAAGGACTATGATTTTATCAGCTCACACAGGAGAAAGCAGCCTCCAATTCCTAGTTCTTTTGAGTCAGCAAATGCGAGTAAGTCAGAGTTCTAATGAGGAACCTGGCCTTAGGCAAGGCTGTTCTCAGTACCAACTGAGCCACAGGCAAATGCTGAGGCACGGCACTCCAGCTGATTGACTCCCAGATTTGCATATAATCAGAACAATGTCTCATCTGTGACTAACTTTCTGGTTCAAGTTGTGCAATAGAGATGAAGTCTGCACTTTAAATCAGATATACAGTCAATAGAATGCATAACATCTCTTCAGAGGATTTGATGGTTTACCACAAGAATTAAAGGAAACATACCTATATCTATCTATAAAGTATCTTATGTTCTCTGCTAGAAGTCTCACCTTTATCAGAACAAACACCAAAACAGGAACAAAGTCATCCGCCCCAGGGACTGAATCTTCATTGGCCAAACTCAGCAGGTTCATGATGGTTGAACACATTCGCAGAATACACTGCACTTTGTCCCGTGGGGTTTTGTAAGCGCTGATTGTGCGGATTTCGGACTGTGCAGATGGCCATGGTGCCTCCCGGAGATACACCTAAAGAGAAGAAAAACATTTCCAATTCTAGTCAGTCCAAGCGATTAAGGATGTTCTGCAGTGCACTCTAATACTGGAGACTTAAAAGGTGGGAGCAGCACACCGAGGAATGGGAAATTAAGGGACAAAATCGATACAGTACACCTCATCAGGAAGCCTCCCTCATTCTGTGTATAAACAACACTGAAGGGAAGTAATATTAATGGTGCAATTAGCACACAATCAGCTTGTTCTTTTATTGATTTTCCCCAAGACAGTGTTTCAGAAGAAGACCGAGACATAAGGTCCTAGCTTCCATATAAAATGATTTACTGACCCTCACCTGTTCAGAGGTGCAGACCAAGAACTGAACTGGAAGCCAGGAATGCATGAGTTCTAGACCTGCCTCTGACATGGACTTTTTCCTGTGACACTGGACTACTCACTTAACCTCATTTTGTTTCCATCTCCCTACCTGTATTATAGGGATAATAAGTTCCTTCCTCCCTCCTGCATGGGGGCGCTGTGAGGATTTACTGTTGTAAAGCAATTTGAGGAAGAAACATGCTGCATAAAGGGTGAAGTATTATCCAGGTTAAAAACCATTATGCTAGGACTAGTTGCTGAAATCCTGTGCCGTCGCACAGGTATAATTCTTAAAGTCATGTGTGTAAAAAAGCTGAAAATAGCTGAGAACTAAAAAATTAGATGGTAACAAAATGCAAGTCCCAGTGATGATTGAAGCTGGTGATATTCTAAACAAAATTAGCTCTCATCCATTTGTAGCTATTTCCATTGCTTCACACTGACTCAACAGACATTCTAGGCTTCAGAGTGGACGGTTGGACTGGATATCTGTCCATCAGGGATTGCTTGGGAATAATAGAATTATCCCTGCCTCGATGCGGGGATATAGATTACTAGAAGTACTTTCCAACTTAGGTAATACTACAAGATTTTAGTTTACCTGGTGAATATAAACCACAACAATGATGTACATGAGTCTTGAGCCCTTTAGCTAAGCCACTCCTTTTTTTAAAAAAAAAAAAAAAAAAAAAAAGGTGTTTTTACAGAGTTACTGCTTGTCAGTTCAGGTGGGTTGGATATTGTTAGTGGCATTTTTTTAAATGAAGGACCCTCCATATTAGTTTACCATTTGTCACTTGTGCACTGACTAATATTAAATACACCTTCAAACTTGTGTTTCATCAGTGGAGTATAACAAACAGTATCACCCAAGGACAAGGAGTAAATTGTACAGCTACGTCTCCTGCTTTAGGAAGAGAAGTGCTATTATTTCCTCTAATTTTAAATACAAAAATAGAGGGAAGAAGCAGTTGTTACCTCTGGAATCTGAAGTGCTCGGTGGTTTGCAGTCACTACCTTAGACAACCTTTGGATATGCTCATGAAGGACCCTGAAAAAGAGGGGCAACAAAAGTGAAGTGAGAAAAGGAGAGAGCCGGCCACCTCAAGAGACCAAATGTAGTTTTCATAGAAGAGGCAAAACCCCCTTTTGGATTTCCCAGGCAATAAGATGAGTTTATAAATTAGACCTATCTGAACAATACACTGCAGACATAAGAGTGAGCAACTGGAACACCATGTACAAATACTAACCATGGTCAGTTTGCATTGGCCTCACTAACAGCGGGATTTGTCTTATGGTACACCAAATCCAATACCATGCTGGCTGCAGCCGTCAAAAACCTGGTGCCCTAAGGAAGATGAAAGACCCAGGAGGCACATGGCCAACTGCACTAAAACTGTAAATGGAGGGTGTGTGCCCTTAAAAAGGTTTTAATTATCCACCGTGGAACACAAAACTATAGGGTTTATCATCTAGTTCCTACATCATACAGTTAGGATTATTTTCCTCTTGTTTTAGTAGCTTGCTGCGACTGCAGATCTTTGCATAGGATGCTAAAGTAAAAACCTAAAATAGTTTCTCTCTCATATACAGAAACCCTATTTAATGTAAACAATTAATTAAGGCAAAGCAAAGAGGTTGTGTGGTAAGGCTGGCTTATCTGCCTAGGCACTCAAGTTTGTTTCCTGGAAAGAGCAGTGCTTCTTTCTCTACACACTGCGAGATAACTCAGGTACAGCTAAGCTTGTTCACTTACTGGTCACGCAAAATGTCTCCATCCTGATTAGGGTAGAATGAGAGTTTGAAAATGCGATTCATCACACTGCGTTCAATGGCAAGCTGTGCGTCCTGGAGCTGCTCTTCACTGGCATTCTGCCAGATGACATCCTGGGCCATGGCCCCATATAAAAACTGAAGAAAGTCTTCTACTTGGGCTGTTTTATCGTCTGCTGCAGTGAGTTTCTGGAAATCTGAATACAACGCGAAAGGAGGAAATTCAACTAAAAAGGCAAATGAAAGCAGTTTCTATGGCACTTCCAGAAAGTGGTCAATGGTGGTAAGGGTTCTTGTTTGTAGCTTTGTGGGTGGGGGGGTTGGTGACGGAGTATGGGGAGGAACATGGTCATTCTGATGAAGAAATTAGAAAAAAAGTAGAGGATACATTTTGCAGACTGTGTGGTCTAAGCACTCTGCTTGGCACTGCACTACTCACTTCATTTGAGGCCGTTTGCAAGTTACCTAATTCTCATGACTCACCCCTTCTCCCCCAAACACAGATACTTTTCTGCCTCCCTCACTGGGCACTAGGAAGAGGAAAAGTACTAAGTGTAATTACTGTAAAGGTCACCAATAGGGACCAATATCATTAAGGCTGCCAGACATCATCACTAGGAAGGGAGGAGATTAAGAAAGCCCATGTGTACCATTTTCCAGTCTTGTATTTGATTAAATGTGCATTGTTGCTATAGTCATATTAATGTAACAAAACATATACTAAAATACAGGGCATGCAATGCAGCCAGGGTAATGCAATGGGTAACAGGACCACTGGCCATCTCTCTTGGTTCCTCCCACTTAGGAAGCACAGCTATCAATTCCACCTCCCTGCAGCCAGTTACTAGTTCTTCTCTCCAGCCTAGCAGCTCAGACATTCCTTCAGGACCAAATTTCTCCTTTCTGCCCAGTGACAATGTTTATGAAGCTGCTGCACAGCAAAGCCCAAACCATGGAGTGACTGTGCACTGCTGGTTTCCTCTAAGTTTCTCTGCTTGGATTACTTTCAGATTCTGTATATGGATAGATTTTTAAAAGCAGTTATTTTAAGGCAGTAGTTCTCTAGACTGAGGTACCCTGTGCCAAGATGAATCCCATGTATAAGCATAATACAGCTTTCCAAACACCAACTGTTCCCTGTATCCTCTGAGACACAGTCAGACTTGGTTTCAACCAGTAAACAAATCTATTCTAGGAGTCTAACTTGAGGCACAGTCTATTTATTTTTAAAATACTGAACACAAAAAGGTACAGATGACCCACACTCTACATTAAATTACCTTGAATGAATTCCCTTATCTTTTTTTCTTTGCTTTCCAGAAGTAACCTCACACAAACTGTGGTGAAATATCTGTTGGCCACTTCCTTATCACGTAATACCCTCTGCAGGAGCCTTTCCAGATGGGCTTGTGTGGTCTGCAGACCTTGGCGACATCGAGTTAAATAAGCAATATATGGAGCCCTTTTCCTAAAATTAAAAATGCTTTTCTCATTAGGGATTCCACAATAAAGACAGAAGTAGGACACTCGCTACCTAAAGCTGGTTACAGAAAGGCATGAGAGGAGTCTTCAACTCTCCTAGGTTTTATAGAATAACAAGTCCTGAATTCAAGCTATTGTACAACCTTCTGTTTAGCGCCTCAGCCTATGCAGTAAGACACAACTATCCAAATTCCAATGCTGGCTCGCTGACTCCACAGCCCCCCCACTCCAAGAAGTGAGAGACTGCAACAGAATCGAAATGCAGGTCTCCTGTGTGCCAGTGCAGAGCAGCACACTCAGACTGGCCTAACAACATTCTCTTACTGGAGTGTGTTACTAGTTGGGCTGATTTAAGATTCAAGCCTTTTATGGTTCATTCCCAGAAAGGAGAGAGAATTTTAGCATTTGGTGGGAAAGTGGAGATGTCAAAAGTTGTCTTTTGCTAAGCCAAGTTGGACACTTCCAATCTGCTAATGGATAAAAACCTGCACATGGCAACTGCTTAATAATGATACACAAAACAAATTACCTATAATCCTCTGCAATGGAAGCCAGTAGCTTTCGACATGTTCGGTTATCAAAGCGGCTTACACAGCGCATTGTCTCCTGCAGTTGGGCCATCAAATTCTTATCTTGTAGGTTAATAGCTTCAGCTAACTGAACTTTCAGGAAGCACACAATTTCATTATCTGACCAAAAACATGACAGAATTAGTATTACTGCCTACATGGATTTTCCCACAGACAGAAAACAGGTGAAAGAGTGCTTTTATCTGAGAGAGCTGCATGGAAAAGCTGGTGCACATAATACTTTCAAACCATTACACTGATGTATGTTAAGCAATATCCACCACTCGTGTTATTTTGATATTCATTTGCCACAATTATTTAAGAAGGGCCTTTAAATGCCCTAGATAAGGGATAAATAAAGGAAAATCTGAAAGTAAAAAACTTAGAACTGAACATACATATATTACATACATGTGCAGTACGCACACTTTCCTTAAGCAAAAAGCTGAGTTAATCTGAAAAGACACTAACTCATCTAGTGCATCCTCTCTCAATTTCCTACAGTTTCTCTGCAGCTCCATTTTACAATGTTTTAACAGGAGGCTATTCCCTGGGATACTCAGGTTCTGCCTACACTACGTTACAGTACAACTTTGCCAAAGTACCTGGTTACAACACACTGGAAACTGGGATTTGTCAGGTTGTCCCATGCGTGGGAGAAGCATGAAAGAAAATATGAAGATGAGGGTAGGAGTAGGAAAAACAACGTCAAACAGAGAAATGTGGGTTTGTACATGTAAGAGGATTTACCATCAGGGTCGGTGTGATCTGGTAGGCCATTTCTTGTCGAATGGGACAACATTGGGAAGGCAATGGAATCTGCTGAACAAAGAGCCAGTCTCAGTTTCTTCTTTGCATCCCTAAAGAGAACAAGTGTTATTTTCTCTAAATACAGCGTTGCTTAAAACACACTTGCAATGACAAGTATTTACATCTTTAAAAATCTCTTAGAAACTTTTTAATGCAATCTTAACAGACTCAGACGGTAAAGATTTAATATTTTCAAATAGTGCCAACAGCATTGATGCTTTTGACAATACGCCACTTAGTTCAGCTCTTCAAACAAAATGCTCCCGTTTAACACTTAGCTTTTGAAAAGGTATCTTTCAGTAAGTACTGGAATGCAACTTCACGAAACTTAATCCAGACCTTGGTTCTTTCGGAATCTTTACCAACTAAAATTAATGACATCTTTTCAATGAATTTCATGCTCGTGAAAGGTGTCCAGCTTAGCAACCCTGAAGACTGACATTCTCCATCCATAACAGGCACAGCATACAGACCTCATCACGCTGCTTCGACAATGTTCCTCAACACTGATCTGGAGCGGCCTCCCAGAATGCTCGGACTATGAACACTAACCTTTGGCCTTGCCACTGGGACAGTCAAGGTTGCTAATAATTGGCCAAGTGAAGTGAGGCCCTACATTCAACTCACGGGCATTTCTGTTTGTCTGTAACCAGTAACTTTTGAACACTGCATTCAATCAATTCCCGAATTTCAGGAAACGGTCTAGATATTAATAGACAGAATCTTACTGATTTTGGCAAAAGATGGACAACTAGAGAAGCCTGATTTTCACAAAATTAGGCCCACACAATGCCCATTTGGTGCTGCAGGCAGAAGAATCTCTCTAGTGCTACTGCTGCCTAGAGATATCACACGCAACAGCTCTCTCTCATTGGGTGTACAGCTTGGCCTACATAAGCAACAGAGCATTTTCAGTTCCAAAGTGCCAGAGACGTTTGTACCAAAACTGCAGAACTGTATTGGAAAAGCTGAAGCTGGCACATACGAAAACAGTCCCTGCCCCAAAGAACTTACAATACAGGATGCCCTAATTATGTAGGCACAAATCCACAAATAACTGGACCGATACCAAAAACTCATGTAGTCTACTGAAGAGATATTGATAGTAACTGAAAGTAGTTACTATTAAGCAGGGCTGAATTCAAAGCAATGACCTAGAAGCCATAGATACAATATCCCGGTACCAACCCCCTGAGCAATCCAGTCACCTTGTGTATTTATTAGCTAGTGCATAATATTTAAACATCTCTACATCAACCCTATACTATTTTAGACATGCAGCCCAGATGTCTGGGATCTTCATTAGGGAATTACCTTTCAGTGCTTTCTCCCAACACAAACTAAATATCTTAATTCCTTTAGCAAACACGAATCCACATGAATGTATACAATTATGGGAGGGGTTTTTTTAAGTGTCAATCCTAAATGGTATATGCACAGAGACAGATGGAACCAACTGCTTCACTCCAAAGTTATACAGGCTCATTAAAATAAGTATGAGACCCTTTAACACAGGAGGTTTAAATGCTGGAAGAAACTGGAGGTAGAACAAAAAGGAGAAACCTAGAATGGAGTAAAGCTGAATAAAACAGATGATAGGTGAAAAAGGGCATACAGCTACATATGCTTGTAACATGATATAGCAGCAAAAAGCCAATGCAACTTTGGACTGCGTTTGTGGAGGCATCACATCATGGGAAAGGGGTGTAGGTCCTTCTCTATACAGCTGTGGTGCAACTGCACCTGGGCAGGTGTATTCAGTTCTTGGGCCCCTAATTTCCAAAGAGACAGGAGGAAGTTTGGCAGAGAGCAACAGAAATGATCAGGGAGCTGGAAAGAAGGACAAAGAAGAGACCCAGAAAGAGAGAGAAATTATTTGGCATACTAAAAAGTATGAGTGGGAGGAAAAGAGTGGGACTAAGCAGAGGGAAATATAGGTGGAACATCAGGAAAAACTTCTTGAGAGTGTGCACGAACAGCCTGAAAAATACACTCAGTAGAAGTGGTGGATATCCTATCATTTAACTACATATTTTAAACTACACTGGACAAAATATCTGGAAGTCTACAGTAAGAAACAATACTACTGGTCCCCAGAAGAATAATTCTTTTCCACTATTAAAATTTAGGATACCTACAGTATATATCATGATTCTCTGCAGATCAACCACATGGCTTCAGCTTTTGTCTTAATCCAACACCAAAATCAAAGTTACACACACAAAGATTACGTTTACCTGTAAGAGAAAGCAGAGTCTTGCGGCTGTGCTACTTGACTTGCAGAATCTGGGAGGTCATCAGCTGACATATTCTGCAGGGCTTCATCACGTGGAGAGTCGTGTATACTCTCACCATCTCCAATTACCTCTAAGCAAACATTCCAACAGAGAATTCATAGAAAGGAACTTGACTGTCTAGTACTATATTGTTTGTTTGCTTTTTCTCATTTTTAATTTCCAAGAAGATTTTTTAATTATATGGAAAAGAAACCTAGGTCAATCCATCCATCAAAAAAATAAATAAATAGAATTTTAAAGTAAATTTAAAAAGATTCAAAATAGGCAATGTACAATTTGCTTTTAAAAGGAACTGTATAATTCTGTTTTAGGTCTCAATTTCCTTTTATTGTTTTCCAATTCTTCTAAAAAAAATTGCTAATATGAGATGCATAAACTAATGAGATGCATAAACTAACAACACTGAGAAATCCCAATTGATTCAATCAAGGAGTTCTGGCCTTGGAGATTATTGTTTAGCTCCCACTATCAGCGCGGATGCAATTATAAATTAAACCAAGAGAAACAACCTTGTTCCTTGCACTAGAGAGAGTGTTAATATAGTTCAGATGTTAGTACTATCATTTGACTAGAATATTTAAGGGGTGTTCAACTTTATCACCAAGAGGTTTTCTGCTGCCCATTTTTTAATGTTGTGGCAGTAGCACTGCAAAAGTTCTTACCTGCACTTTCATAATTTACTATAGCTCCTTCACTTGGGCTGGTTCGCTTAATAGCATTCCTATATTTGTCCAGGATATCCTCTGCAGCCTGTGCCTGTGCACTTAGTCTGGGATTGGGATCATCTGAACAATGAGGAAAATATAACAGGAATTAGCTCCAGGTGGTGCTGAGTTCAATGCTAAGTGCAAACAACACTGCATAACAAGTTTAAAACTCATTAAGTCTTCAGGGCAGGTACTGACTAACCACAATAACCTCCTCAGTTAGGAAGCTAATTTTTAATATTCAAAATTCTCTCTCTATACTAGTATATACATTCCTGTAAAAGGTAACGTTTTGGCTGTCCCAGGAGAGCATTTGGGATGCATAGGCTTAGTAAAGGCGCTGCAAGGGCAATATACAAACCTTGAAGTGTTGAGAATCTCTCAGACACAAAGTCATCTTTGTCTTTTTCTTGTTTTTCTTTTTTTCTAAATGGTATAGGAGCTGGAAATTACAGAAAGTCTGTATAAGACACATTATACATGGAGACAATAAAGCATGGAATTACAAACTACATTTAGAAACTGTAAGAAACAGTAAGTTTAACATCAAATAAAGTCTCCATGAAGGGTATTTAGATGTGTAAGAAACTGCAAAGGTGACGTCTGAAGCTTCTCAGTAACACAAGTCCTCTTTAAATACAAAAGTTAATGATACCCAAGCCTGTGGGATGAAACAGGCAGCCTATTGTGATCATATTACAAATTATGTCCTTAACAGCTAAGCTAGACAATCAGCACCCCCAAAAAGCCTTGAAGCACAGTGCCTTCTGAATTCAGTATTTTCATTTACTGGATTAGGAATTGAAACTGGCTAGCTTCACAAATTTACTCTAGACATATGTCCACAGATCCAGAGTCATGAACTGATTATAGTGATGTCAGCTGTTTCTGGAAACTACTTCCAATTAATGGTTCCTGATAAAAGTCACAATCCACTGTGAAATACTAAAATACGTAGAAAAACAAAATATTTTTATACAACTGAATTTAAGTCCAATTCATCTAAGAAGAGTTCCCCCTCTGCAAACTGGGGACAATACTTTTCTATTTTCACACGGGTGTTGTGACATTTAACATTTAGATAATACCTCACATATGCAAAGTCTTAAATTCTAGAGATTATCTTTTAGACTGAACGTATACCTAATCTCCTTTACTTCTAAAATGGTACCAATACCCATAAATTCAAAGACTCTTTTGTGAGCTACTGGCCAGATTTCATCATTTACAAGACCTCTGACTCTGCACTACCTGATTTTGTTAAGTAATTAGCATAACAATCTCAGATTAAAACAATATAGAAAGGGCAGATAGTACTGTGAGCCTGGACTGGTTGCAACCTTCATGTAGTCAACTATTCAGACTGACCATTTAATATATGATCTCACAGTAACTGGAGAGTTAGTCACAGAAGTTTTCCTATCAAAGTGCAGATTTATTGAAAGCAATGTACAGCATTTCTAAAGGCGCCAAGAACGTGTAAACGTGAGACTCTGTTACCTTTGGGCATGGCAGAAACGAAACGCTTTCTCCACCAGGGTTTGTTCCTGTCAGATTTCTCATCATCACTATCTTTTCGTTCCTCAATCTATAGGGAAAGTGACATGTTTTGTAAAATGGAAGACTGAAAAATATTTTCTTGATTACCAGTAACAGATCATATCACATTACCTGCAAAACAGCACTACAACAAAGTAAACTAACCTGCTCTTGAAAGTTTAAGTCCTCCCTTGGAGGGGTGTTTGTAAGTTTGAGTGTAACCATTTGTTCTGGACTAAAAGTTGGTGTACAACAATCCAAGAAAATCTCTCAAAAAAAGGCAATGTTTGTTTTCATTATGTTGACGCATTTACCACTACAAGACTTTATGGTTAGAGATTCATTTTGGGGGTCCTACGACTAAAGCAGGTCACAAATTGAAAAAGAGACCTTGTCTATTTGGGCCATTCACCACATCTTAAGCTTTGACTTTTATAAGTCATACTACACGCCGCCTTTCAGAAGGTGCCAGAATTGCACTAGGCTTCCCTAGTTAATATATTTAATGCTAACAACACTAGACACACATTTCTACTCAAAAATGACATGAGAGAAAAAGAACAAAGATACAAAATCAGTTCAGCTTCACAACGGATGTCTTACCTCTCCTCTAGAGGAGTCTTTACTGGGGGATGACGAAGAGGACTGAGGCGCAGGCACTGAAGCAGCTGCCCCAATGTTGGGTGTTTGTGTAGGAAGCTCCCTTTCTTCATTACCAGGCCGCCTGTTCCAGCCAGGGTCACTCATAGGTCTCCGAACTGATGACACTATGTCAGAGCTCCTGCTGCGGACCAGCCTTTCTGGGTAGGAATGCCTTTGTTTGAACGCCTCCAAATCAGTTGGGATTAAGATGTGGGAGCCAAAATTTGGTAATCTGGCCTCATTACCTCCCATAGCTCCTTCCAAGATTGGGGGATCTGGCGGCGGATGAGCGGGTCTTGCATAGTGCACTTTAGGCCTAACCACTGCTGATACACCTGAAGCAATGAAATATTACATCATTGAACCAAACATTAGGATTATACCGTGGTGGTTATGTGTGTACATGCGTTTCTCAAATGGATAAGATTTTTTTCCCAACTAAAATGGACAGCAGCCTTTGTTGTACAGTAACTCCTCACTTAAAGTCGTCCCTGTTAACGTTGTTTTGTTGTTACGTTGCTGATCAATTAGAGAACATGCTCATTTAAAGTTGTGCAATGCTCCCTTATAACATTGTTTGGCAGCCGCCTGCTTTGTCCACTGCTTGCAGGAAGAGCAGCCCGTTGCACCTAGCTGGTGGGGGGGCGCTTGAAACCAGGGTGGATTGGCAGCCCCCCTATCAGCTCCCCGCTCCCCTAAGTTCCCTGTGCAGCAGCCTCCCTGCAGGCTATCAATTGCCGGCAGTTCAGCTGTCCCTCCCCCCACTGCCATGTGCTGCTCCTGCCCTCTGCCTTGGAGCTGCTCCCGGGAGCCTCCTGCTTGCTGTGCAGGAGTGGGAGAGAGGGGGGCTAATGTCAGGGTGTCCCCCTCCCCCCCTGCTCCTGTCCCCCACTTACCCCATCCATAGAACAGGGGGGAGATACGACAGGGCTCAGGATGGAGGGAGCTTGCTGGCCGCAGCTGCTCTCTCAACTTCCTGATATATTTAAAAATGCAATGTACTCAGAGTGGGGCCAGCGTACTTAAAGGGACAATGCTTCTCTCTCTCTCACACACACACACACACACAGGGTGTCTGTCTCTGTCTGCCATGCTCTCTCCCCTCCCTCCATTTGTGCTGCCTTGTAGAGCGTGAGGCTACATTAACAAAGTGTTAACCCTTGAGAGCTCAGCCGAGTGATAGTTCATCATTTAGCGGTAAGGCATTCCCTGGGAAATATCCCACCCTCTTCCACCTTCTAACTTCACCACCTCAACCAAGCTTCACAATCATCATTGCTATGTACAGTATTAAATTGTTTGTTTAAATTTTAAACTTTAAAACTTATAACTTAAATATAAATAATTTCCCTGGAACCTAACTCCCCCCTATTTACATTAATTCTTAGGGGAAATTGGATTCGCTTAACATCATTTAGCTTAAAGTTGCATTTTTCAGGAACATACCTACAACATTAAGCGAGGAGTTACTGTATTGATCTTAAAAACAAGAATAGCTCATTCTTTACAATTTACCTTCGTGTGATGACAAAGGGTCAAACAATGCAAGCAAAGAGTCCGACTGAGAAGGGTGAGAAGTCAACTGACTGGCTCCTGAAACAATACAGAAAGTGGGTCTGCATGTGCCATGCACTATTCACTGCTTCTTAGCTAGAGTGCTGCACAATACAAATGCATTCACAGAGCTTATGAAATAGGCAGCATTTAGATCCTTTTACAATGTTAATAAGTGCTTAACACACTTCAAGATGGACTGACAGGAAGGCACCTGAAAGCACTCACAGGACTAAACAGTCAAATTATTATAAAAACTGTAAAAAAAAAAAAAAAAAAAAAAAAAAAAAACCACACACACCACACAGAGCACAGTGAGGGGAGTGGGGCTCAAGTGCAAAAGAGCAGTCAACCTAACTTCGTAGAATTAGATAGAATAAAGACTTAGATCTCAGACTCTGCAGTATTTCATCACCTCCTCTTTCTATTCATAAGCATAAACACATCTGCTGAACAAATATGGAGAGAATGATTGTAAGCGGTTTCTCAAAAACCAGAAAATACATTTTCTAAATAGAAGTGAACTTTTCTTCTACGCAGCGTTTACCCCACTTATTCTTGCTGGGATGTACAGTGTTAAAAGGTTTTACAGTCAGAAGTTTAACAATTCCTGATGAGCTTTCATCTAAGACGCAGTTTATTTTTCACTTACTATCCAAGGGCTTTACTTACCATGAGCTGTTTCATCCATATCAGGACTTGTCACTGAATCTTTCCCTCCAAAGTCAGAGCTACACTCAGACCTAAGGTCCTCGATCTTATTAGGAATATCCTCAGAGGTTGCACTAATACCTTACAAATAACAAAAGAAGGATCTGTGAGGGTCTTTGAGACAAAAAGGACACAGAAATCAAAAACATTAAACTTTTTTGTGACAGCTGCAATGAGCTGGGGTGTTCTTGCTGCCAACTCCCTAACACTGAATTCAAGAGAAGTGGCAGCTTGGCATTCTGAGAGCCATGACTTTAGAATCTGTCCTGGTATAAGGTTTTGCAACCTTTGGGTTCCATCTGCTTATTCCGCTATTTAATATACGCATATTATATATATATATATATATATATATATGCTTTGATGCTATGACTGGCAATATAAAGGACCTTAAGACAGACAAATAATTTGCACAAATCTATGACAGGAAATGTAAGTAAGATGCAGAGACAGAGACTACAGAGGTATGCTACACAAAATGGGATGAAGAGAAGCTGAAGGCAGGTGTCCATAGTGAGATGTAAGGAAATATTAGGTGATTTCTTAGATTCAAACACCCTATTGCAAGTCTCTGCTTCTGAACAACAGATTCTTTGGATTTCACTCTATTTTTAGTAGGATGAAGAGCATGGTACTACTGCTCTGGAAATCAGAGTATGAGCACCAGACAAAAAAAATCCTTTTATGGATGAGAATAAATATGATGAAACTAAGCACATGGCAAAACATACTGGTTACCATCTAATAAAGCAAAACTTGTTCCTGAAAATAAAAACACACCTGACACGACGCTGAGGCCTGGTGTACTGGGACGAGAACTGACCTCCCTCACATCTGTGTCATCAGAGGTGCTGCCCAGCCCAGAACAGCTTTCCAGTTCCTGCAGTCTTTCCTCCTGCTTTAGGTCTGGGGCCTCTAAACAGGAAATGGTGTGCATGCATTACCGCCTGATGTTATAGTCTCTTACAATTCACATGCAAAAAGATGGTGTAGGGATTTAGATTAATGTAAAGAGAGTCTAGCTAACTTTGTGAAATGTACTCTGAAATGGCAACAAATAATTTGAGCTATTTCAGCCAATTCTACTTTGCTGTACTGCAGGCAAGACAATGCAGATAGTCCTTTATATCTCTAGGGGCATTTTGCTACATCTATTTTTACTCTAACAAAAATCAAAATTTGAATTATTGAGTTTCCTAGCCAGAGACTATGGAATGATATATTAAATGCTCATGAAAACATTGAGTGTATGTAAAAATTCTGCCTAGAAAGATTCCCATAGTTCTACGGTGCTCCTTTTATTCTTAGTTTTTCCAGAACACTGCAAACAGTCACCAAGCCATGCTAGATCTGCTCTCATTATAATTTAGTCTTCTGTCCATCCTGGTAAGGTTAATGGAGTCACAAAGCTTAGCCCCTCCTGTGCATTAGAAATCTTTGTGCACTACACCTAACTCACCCAAACGAATTAAAAACAAGACATACACCACAGCACATCTGCCATCCTCCTAGTCACTGCTCATCATACACCCTTTCCCCACCTCACAGCATGCTACCCAGCCAAAGGGAATGGCTACAAACCGGCTTATTTTGTGCAGCCTGAGTGCTATATGGGTATTTGTATTCACAATATGTCAATCTTAAAGACTTCCATAATTCTCATAGTTTTATTTTGGAATAATAAGAAATCATCTTTGTTTGAAAAAGGACCACTATGATTATTACCTGCCCTCTGAAATAGCTTGTGGTCTTTGGGCAGGTAATATTCCCTCTCAAAGTGATGGTTTCAAGTGAAGCACTTATCCAAAAATATTTATGAAATAATGCTTTGCAGTTCATGTCAAAGACCAAACTAAAGATGAGTTGCAGGATTCTGACCTGAATCACTTGGCAATACCTCCACACTCCAAGCTTCACTGGTGGTTTCGGATATGGTTGACCCTGTGCAGGGGTCCAGCAGCACAGATCCTGAACCTGGCAAACACAGCAAGCTGCCAAGCATGTTCTCTGCAGCTGCACCTGCACAACCAAGAGGGAAGAAAGGATCAGGTAGGAAAGATGAGAGGATTCTGGTAAGACAGACACCATAAACTGGGTGTCCAGTATTAAGTAATTATAAAAGACACACAACATCTACGGGGGGGGAACAACAGAAGAAAGTACCCATAACAAAGGCAGGACAGATGTCTAAAGTTTTCCTACAAAGAAACTTAGATTTAACAACACATTTATTTCATAACTACACAGAGACTGAATGAGAGCTCATTCAGGGGGGAACGATAGCTCAGTGGTTCGAGCATTGGCCTGCTAAACCCAGGGTTATGAGTTCAATCCCTGAGGGGGCCATCTGGGGATTTAGTTGGGGATTGGTCCTGCTTTGAGCAGGGGGTTGGACTAGATGACCTCCTGAGGTCCCTTCCAACCCTACTAATCTATGATTAAAAGCCTCGTTGCTTTGCAGCAAGCTTAAAGTAGTTTTCATGTTGGATGTGCTGTCAGTTACCTGCAATTTCTTGCAAACGGTCTTCATCAATATTTGGATCAAAGTCACTGCCCAAGACATCTGTGCTCCAGGTCTCACTCACAGTTTCTGATATGTCCCTATCATCAGTCAATCCCATCATATCACGAATTTCAAATTTACGGAGCTTGTCATCAAGATTATCCTGAGTCGTAGCTATGTAAAAATAAAAGGTCTCTCAAAAATTCTTCAATATGCTATAGGACAGGAAACTAATTCTGTCAAGTAAAATGCAGTTTTAAATAACTAGGATCTGTACAGCACTTTAATAATAATCACAATAATTTGTAAATTCAAATAGATGCAATGTGATAACATTCTTTACTCATATTTGAGAAACACTAGAGATTTACTTATGATAGCTAAACATAGAGCTATCATAACTGTCTACAACTATGAATGACAGACATCAAGGAGTGAGTAAATTATGGTGAAAACTGACTGGAAGGGAAGAGGTTGAATTCCTATCAGTTGGAACACTTTGCCCTCTCCAGTTAAAGTGTCGGTAACTACAAAAATATCTACGGTCTAACATTTCCAATTGCTACAATTCAAATCATCCTTTTCCCTCTTGAAGAGGAAGGCATCATAAAACAAAAATTTAAAAATATTTTATTATAGTGACTAAGATTTCAAAATACAATATAAGGTCAATGTTCTAAGAATGATGTTAACATTGTTTTAGTGGACAACAATAGCTTGCTAATGAAAAAATAAATGAAAATGTGAGATATTCAAAAAAGTATGAAAGTAATTAAACGATGTAGAAAGCCCCTTTATTCATCGCAGACATACCCAATTTAGAGATTTAAAACTGATGGACTTAGAGAAATTGTAACAGTCTACTCGCTTTGAACTGTGTATCTGCACCTACCTTGTTCATGTTCTAACAGCTGCAGGGCTTCAACACCATTGCTCCCAGAAGGCCCTGCACCAAGCTCTGACACAGACTCTCCTTCTAAATCCAAAGAGGACACAGAATTGGAGCGATTTGAAGGACCTGATGAAAATTGATTTTCCTGTTAGATTTGTTCAGATCAGACTATTTGTTTTCCAAACTCGTAGCATAAACAGTACAAGATGCAACTTACTAGCAAGACTGCAAAAAAATGAGCTGAAGCCTGTCATTTTCAATACAAATTAGCAATTTATGTGAAATTCTGAACTGAGGAACTCAAAAATTCTTCTCAATATGGTGAACTATTTAGAAAGTGTGTTAAATACCAACATCTCAATTATCTTGTAGAAATGGAAACTGGAACACTTAGCACTCCAGTAATTAACACTTTACAACTTTGCAGTGCCACACAACAACATTAACTAATCTTCAGATACCTTGCCACACATGGTTAGCACATCAATATTAGTGTACTAGCTTTTAGCCAAAATTCAAATACAAACTTTTGTAATTATTAGTTTTCTCTAATAACTTGATTTTGTTTATCTTGAAAAACAAGAAGGAGAGAAAAAACTAATCATGGAAAGTTAAATAAAATAACATATTACCTGGAACATTTGAACGGCTTGTAGAAGCCTATTCAATATCCCAGGGAAACCCCTATTTGCTGTGTGTGATACTCATATAAAAGAGCTGTTGTTCTAGGCTCCTAACATTTTGGCATATAAAAAAAATTGATGAAAATAAGATTAAAAGTCAGTATGTGAACTAGAAATTTACGGACAATTTAGATTGCAGTTATGCCAATAACATGCACCAAGTTGAAAATCCTTTTATCAACTACAGTCATGTTTTGTTCAAACATGAAGGCAGGCTTTCAGGGGAAAATGAGACAGCCTTTGCAAAGACAGATATGACATGCTGTATATAACAGAAGCTTCTTTTAGAATTAAAATCTGACACACAAAACTTTTTGAATACTTAAGTAACCCTTCACCTTCAGATATTCCTTCCAGATTATCACTGCAGAGGGAAAAGCGCAAGGTTTTATCAGGTTTACCGTGGAGTTTGGTTTCATCAACAGGGACATCTCCTTGTCCTCCATCGGCAAGCTGCATGTTTAAGACCTATGGGGGGAAAAAATCAACATGTTTAAATTGACCCAGAAAAATAAATTATTTTTATTTACAAATCAGTCTAACAACTGAAACCAGATTTTTTTTCCAACTTTTCTAGATCTTTAATGGCATAGTCAATATCTAACATCTCACATTTGAGGAATGGTCATTTGAATCAATACTGAGCACATTTCTGCAAAGTAACAGCCTAGTGAGATTTTAAAAGAGCCAAGATTTAGACATGCAGTATATCATGAAAATGGAACCTCAACTGACTTTTTACTCTAATGGCACCTTAATATCACATAGCAATCGATAATTACAGCACTCCAAGAGGAGGGAATCTGAACTATTGGGCAAGACACTAAGGAAGTATGTTGTCCTCTTATTCAAAGGACACATTATGCCAACAGCTGCAGATGGATAACGTAATACTTGGATATTCAGCCTTTACAAGCTCTGATATGGCAGCTCAGGTTTGCTCCCAAGCAATGTATCATGAAGTAACATCTCCACAGGCTTGGCATAATTAACTCTTCATGATTTATTATGCTGCAGTAGTTAAGTCTGTTTCATCACTTTCATTCTAAATACTACGTTTCAAGAGTTTATAACTTGGGCATGCACAGTAACTTCAGTATACAAAAGTTTCTAGAGGATTAGCATAAGACTTAATATGCTTGCAAAGCACAGAACAAACCAGTTCCTTTGGAGACACTAAAATCTCTTGGATCTATGAATCAGAAGGTTTTACCCTACTAAGAAAGACGAGGCATGTCTCTGCACAGAATGACAAGGCAGGGATGGCTTAATGAAGGTGGTGTTTATCTGCTTTCAAAATCCAACTGCAGACATCACACGTTTACCTGGCAGCAGAGAGACACCAAAGCCATATAAAACACAATACTTTCTTTACAGTTGTCCTCCAAGGTTTCTTCAGAGTCATTAAAATTGACCAGGTGTCACTTTATGCACACACACACACACACACACACACACTATCAGGGAGGGAAGATGGATAAATACTCTGTTAATTTACTACTTAAGTACTTAAAATGTCCAAGCAATCTTCTCTGAGATCCTTCCTGTCCCACAACAGCAGAAAGGCAGAAGATTCAGGAAGTGAACCATTGGCTAGGTAAGTGGTGGAAGGTTTTGTTAAACACTAGTCTAACTTCTGTTGGGAGAGGGATCCATATAGTTTGGATGGCCTCCACCTCAATAAAAAGGAAACAAATCTCCTTGGGGACAGGCTGGTTAGAGTAAATCAGGAGGTCATTAAACTAACAGCAAAAGGGGATGGTAAAAAGAGGGAAGAACTCATCACAAAATCAAGATGTTGAGAACAAAATTAATCAAGGAACCAAAGGACACGAAGAGACGAAATTCCTGAATTGCCTATACACCAATGCTAGGAGCCTGAAACGAACAAAAAGAATTGGAATTGCTCATTTGTGAGCATAAATTCAATCTATTTGGTATTACTGAAACCTGGTGGGATGTACCACACTATTGGAATGTTAAAATCAATGGTTATAACCTATTTAGGAAGGATCGAGTAGGCAAAAAGGGAGAGGGAGCGGCATTTTATGTCAAAAATGGCATTACCTGTTTCCGAGTCACAGATAACTCGGAAGAAAGTGATGTTGAATGATTATGGACCAATGTCCTAAGAGATAAAGCATAAGATGGGGTATTAGTTGGTGTCTGCTACAGACCACCAAATCACACTAGGGAACAGGATGATGGCCTCCTTACGTGCCTATCTATAAATTGTAGGCAAAAAAACGTGTATGATCAGGGGGGATTTCAATTTGAGTGTCATATGCTGAAGGTCTCATGCTGCCAGTACTAAAACATCCTTGGAAATTCCAAACATTATAGATGACAATTTCTTAACTTAAAAAGTATTGCATCCAAGACGTGGGAATTCTTTATTAGATCTTGTCTTAACAGATAAAGAGGACGTGACCACAGAACTAAAATTAATGGTAGCTTCGAGACAAGTGATCATTCCTTGATCACATTTATAATGTGCAGAATAAAGTCCAGACCAGCAATATATATACTTGGTGCTTTACTAGGGCCAAATTACAAAGCTGAAAACAATTATGAGCCAAATCAGCTGGGAGGAAGAATTTAATCAGAAAAGTGTGAATGATAATTGGGAATCATTTAAGAACATCTTACTGGACGCCCAAAAACTCACAATTAAGGAAGAACACCACACTAGTTAAAAAAGTGACCTTGTTCAGAGGGGAAGTGAAGGCGGCTATAAAAAAAATAATTAATAATAATAATAATAATAATAATAAACCAATGGAAGGAAAGGGAAGTTGACAGAAATGAATATACATCAGAAGTTAGAATTGTAAAAAACTGATAAGGGAAGTAAAGGAACCCAAGAATAAATATATGGCAAACAGCATTAAGGACAATAAGGAGTATTTAAAACATATTAGGAACAAAAAGAATCCTGACAAAGGTATTGGTCCATTACTAGATAGAAATGGTAGAATCATCAATAATAATGCAAAAAAACAGACAAGATAGTTTAATAAATATTTCTGTTCTTTATTTGGTGAAAAAACAGACGATATAGTCTCATCCAGGGCTTTAGAGTGGAGCCCGGAGCAGCTCCGGAGCAGAGGAGCTACAGGTTTTTGCCTGGAGCTGGAGCGGAGCCGGAGCACAGCTCTAAAGCCCTGGTATCATCATATGGTCATGATACCACTCCTTCCATTCCACTAGTATCTCTGCAGGATGTTAAACAGAAGCTACTAAAGTTAGACATTTTTAAATCAGCAAGTCCAGATAATTCTTTGATGCAAGAGTTTTGAAAGAGCTGGCTGAGGAGCTTGCTGGACCATTAATGATGATTTTCAATATGTCCTGAAACCTCCCCAGTTCTCCAAAGGGCCGTAAGATAGGTAATGTGCCAATTTTTAAAAAAAACAAACAGGATGACCTGGGCAATTACAGGCCTGCCAGCCAGACACTGATCCTAGTCTCAATTGAGATTTAAAGGAGGGCAATGTAATTAATGCAAGTCAACATGGGTTCATGGAAAATAGATTGTGTCAAACTAACTGGATATCTTTTTTTGATGAATTTACAAATCTGGTTGATAAAAGTAATAGTGTTGATGTAATATACTTAGACTTCTGAAAGGTGTTTGACTTGGCACCCCACAACATTTTAATAAAAAACTAGAACGATATATGGCACATGTTAAATGGATTAAAAATGGCTAAGTGACAGATCTCAAAATGTAACTGTAAACTGGGAATTCATTGAGAGGCTGTGTTTCCAGTGGGGTCCTGTAGGGATCAGTTCTTGGCCCTACGCTATTTAACATTTTTATCAATGACCTGGAAGAAAACAAACCCATCACTGATAAAGTTTGCAGATGACACAAAAATTGTGGGAGTGGTAAATAATGAAGATAGGTACTGAGTCAGATTATCTGGATTGCTTGGTAAACTGGGTGCATGAAAACAATATGTGTTTTAAAACAGCTAAATGTAAATGTATACATCTAGAAACAAAGGATGTAGGCCATACTTACAAAACGGGGGACTATCCTGGGAAGCAGAGACGGAAAAAAGATTTGGGGGGTCATGGTGGATAATCAGCTGAATATGAGCTCCAATGTGATGCTGTGAGCAAAAGAGCTAATGTGATCCTGGGATGGATAAACAGGGGAATCTTGATTAGGAAGACAGAGGTTATTTTACCTCTGTATTTGGCACTGGTGTGACTGCTGCTGGAATACTGTGTCCAGTTCTGGTGCTCACAATTCAAGGATGGTGATAAATTGGAGAGGGTTCAGAGAAGAGCCATGAGAAGGATTACAGGGTTAGAAAATATGCCTTATAGCGATGGCCTCAAAGAGAGCAATCTATTTAGATTAACACAGCCAGGGTTAAAGGATTACTTGATTACAATCTCTAAATATCTATATGCAGAACAAATATTTAAAAATGGGCTCTTCAATCTAGCCGAGAAAGATATAACATGATCTAGTGGCTAGATGTTGAAACTAGACAAATTCAGACTGAAAACAAGGCATAAAATTTTTCACAGTAAGAGTAATTAACCATTGGAACAATTTACCAAGGGGTGTACATGCTCCATCACTGGCAATTTTTAAACCAAGATCAGATGTTATTCTAAAATGTTCTAGGAATTATTTTGAGGAAGTTCTATGGCCTGTATACAGGAGGTCAATCTACATCACAATGGCCCCTTCTGGCCTTGGAATCTGAATGGAGGGCTCTGGCACACCCACCTACCTGTTTAATCTGGATGCTGTATTAATCATTACAAATAGAAATCAGTTGTGGTTTGGAGAATATTTGCTACACCTAAATACAGCGAAATAAATAAAGGGTTTTAGCCCTAATTCTCCAATTTAAACCTTGTCTTAGTTTGTCACAAACTTAGTATTATTTCATGGTCTGAATATACATTCTTCATTTCTCAAAGCATGTGATTTATATTTGACACCTTGTTCATACCTCATTTTCTGACATCATCCCCGGAGTAAGCTGCGGACCTGTTCCCAAAGAAATAACCAGTACTTCTTCTGGCTGAACTTCCTGTATAGAATCCTGGGAAGATCCTTCATGGTCTCCATGCTGGTCCATTGGAATATTTGATCTATTTCTGCTACGGGTAGCTAATGATGCATGTTAAAATACAGAGTGTTATGAAGGTTTTCAATATTTAAACTCTCAGAGTATCTACAAATGCTATACAAATACACAAGTGTGATGTTAGCGCATGCATATCAAAGAATGGGCAAAATGCAAAGTACAATTTACAACTTTCTGGAAAGGTGGAAATTGATACTGGGGATGTGCAAAACTGACACTGGGGCTATGTAATTATTTAAATATTGCACTACTGTGAAAATATCAGACTTGTAGCATAGTGGCTTAAGAAGCATATAATGTACCATGCTTCTCCATTAACCCCCAGATATTCCTGCCCGAGAAGGGCAGGACAGCTTTCCCTTTAGGTTCTCTGCACACATTCTTCCTTTGCAAGAGAGAGACTCCCCTCTGCTTCTGTACCATTGCAAAAACAGAGCACCACCACAAAGGCACTTTAGTTCCCATGTTTAAAATACCTTTTAAGTAGTGGTGGGTTTTTTCCCTACAAACTGCAGTCATGCCAACCTCACAGCCTCATGACCTAAAGGCACCTTACATTGATAAGAGATCTCCATTGCATTAAATAATAGGAAAATGCTCATCAAAAAGCACCAGGAGACCAAGACAAACAAATGAAGAACACCTGGAAAAGCAATTTTTTGCATTTGTGCAATGAACCATTTATGGGTTCTGCCTGGGCCCTTGCTGAATTCAACAAGCATGGAAACTTAAAGACCCTATTGTTACCAGCTAGAAGGGCATCAAGCTTCTTATGGCTAAGAAGTCTGTTCAGAAACAATGTAGAGCAGTGGTCCCCAACCTTTCTGTTGCAAATAGCACATTCATGTTCCCAGAAGAGCGTGGCGGGCTCTGGACGACCAGCTGCCGAAAAGCGGTGACATCGAGAAGCGCCGCCACTGAAATGCCGCCGAGAACAGCGGCATTTCGGCGGTGACACTTCTTGGCGTTGCTGCTTCTCGCGGCATTTCGGCGGCTGGTTGTCCTTCTCAGTAGGCGGGCGCACATAAATGCCCTGGCGGGCACACTGCATTGGGGACCACTGATGTAGAGGATAGATATGGGGGCGGGGGAAGGAGAAAGATGAAGTGGAGAGAGAATTTTTTTTTTTTTTTTTAAACTTGAATGTCTAAGCAACAGCTCCCCATTTAAAATTCTAATCTCCAAGACCTCTGACAAGATTGATTATTTAATGCTATGCACTAGGCCAGTGGTTCTCAAACTTTTGTTCTGGTGACCCCTTTCACATAGCACGCCTCTGAGTGCGACCCCCCCCTTATAAATTAAAAACACTTTTTATATATTTAACACCATAATAAATGTTGGAGGCAAAGCGGGGTTTGGGGTGGAGGCTGACAGCTCACAACCCCCCACCTAATAATCTCACGACCCCCTGAGGGGTCCTGACCCCCAGTTTGAGAACCCCTGCACTAGGCCATGAAGTAACTATGAGATTACAAATTAAGCTTTTTGGGGCATCATCTGCTACTACATGTTTGTATAGTGCCTAAAGCCCAGATCCTTAATAAGAACTGTTAGAGCACTACTTTAATAAGAACGGCCATACTGGGTCAGATCAAAGGTCCATTTAGCCCAGTATCCGGTTTTCCGATAGTGGCCAATGCCAGGTGCCCCAGAGGGAATGAACAGAACAGATAATCATCAAGTGATCCATCCCCTGTTGCCCATTCCCAGCTTCTGCCAAACGGAGGCTAGGGACACCATATAAATAAATAAAGCGTATCCCTTCAGCATTCACCAGCAAACTCTCTTGACTACACCCAGACATCAGTGATAGTTACTCAACGTATGTTAGCTGGTGCCCATCCCGGAATGCCTGCAAGAATAGGCAAAGAATTCATAGGAGACACACAACTCTCACTGTAAGGGAAGGCACACAGGCAGCAATTCAGACAGTGCTGTTTAGAGCAGCTACCTGAACTCTTACTTAAAAACAAACCAACAAATAAAACTTTCTAGCCAAATGTACAGCACTACAAAAGAATTAAGGCCCTGCATCCCATGAGTTGCTGAGCACTTTCCAATACAGTCAACAGAAGCAAGAGGCACACAGCCCCTTGCACGACTAGGTTCTAAAGCAGCATTACTGAAGGCTTTCAATGTTTTGTAGAGTAAACCTTTTATTAGGGCGTTTAAAACAGTTTTGGACTTTATTGGGCAAGTCCTTTTCGGTGTACACTAGATGGAATGTGTCAAACACTTATAAGCAAAAGCTGGTAAGCCCTTATTCTTTTTACCTCTTGGGCATGCTAATTTATAATTTTTGTGATGGCATAAAGAAAATGGAAAATGCCACTCTAAGCCTGGCCTAGGATGGTTCTACCCTGTTCAGAGGAGGTGCTGGTAACAGAAATAAGTCATTCAGAACAGTGGTATGCCACACCTTGCACTGGAGAGCCACTCAGCAAGAACTACTGCAGGAAGTCACACACAAAAAAATCACAAACCTGAAGACCCGATGTTACATCATCAGGAACTGACAAACACATGGCAAAGCAAAATCATAACACCATCCTGATTACTTTGTGGTTCTCTAACTCCTTTTAATATCATCTTCTCTTCCTCTCCCCATTCTGGACACCTTGGAGAAAGAGTCAAGGACCTGAAGTTCCTTATCTTATCTAGGGGCTGGCAGCATGGCATCAATTTCCTCAGTTGAAACATGGGAGCTGAGGCCAAATGTGCAACTTGAGAGTTAAATTTTTACCTTCAATTATCATGCATCAAAGGGAGAGTAGGCTTTTTAGGTTACTACATTTTTCTAGCTATTTAAGTAGGAATTGGCCTTCGTAATGGAACAAACAAAGAAGCCTGGCACAAAGCAAATTAAAGACAAGCATGAGAAGCATGGTTTTATGAAGTGAATAGAAGTTTTGCATAGATGAAGAAGGGAAAGAGTCCATTACCCACCAAATGGGGTTACTAGATTAATGTGAGCTGAGAGATTGGTGGTAGAAGTATCCCAGGCAGTAATGGCTGCCAACTGTTGTCCTGGGTTTCGACAGCATTAAACAGAAACAAAATCAAGCCTTTGAACAACAAAAATATTTTAAACTGTAAAATAAATACAAACAAGTTGTTACGTCACTAATGTAAACTTAGAATAGCAGTTGTGCACAGAGAGGTAAGGATAACTCATGGTACCAAAATGAGGTTTTAGTAATTGCTACCTTTAATTTACTATTTTAAGTATAAATATTTTTGCCCTATGTTACAGATAAATACCAAGCTCTTTTTCTACTGAATACCAATATTCCAATCATATAAGTAAACACTAGAACAGAGTGCAATACTTTAGGATCTAGAGGAAAAAAGTGTCACATTTTGAGCTGGGATATTTTTGAGCTGAAAAGGTATAAGATCATGAAATTCTATGCTTCAGAAGAGAATGCGCTACATTACATCAGTAGCCAGATTTAAGACAGCATAATTACAAGGCAATCTCCCCTCTTACACTGCTTAGCACTTTTTTAGCATTATCTTCAATGGATCCCCCTTCCTCCCATTTTCCATACTGGTGTTGCCAAATGTCTGCACCCTGACTTTCTTCCCCACTCCACTCTCATTGCTTGAGTGATCATCTCCACTCTCATCACCTCCACGGTGATGATTTAAATCTACCTCCCCATGCCTAACCTCTCCCCAACTGACCAGATTCCCATCTCTTCCTGTCTCTCCAGCATTTTATTGCAAAGACTCTGCCACTTCTCTAAATATTGCAAAACCTGAACATCTGTCTTTTCTTCTACTTTCTCCTCATATTCAAACCCTCTCTGTATCAATGTTGACAACTGCACTATCCTCACCACCACTCACTCTCTCCTATCCACTGGCCTGCATCATTTCACTAACATATGCTGATTAGATTATATTAAGTCTACATTACATGCGAACTAGGAACCCTACAACTTCATTTACTATATGAATACACTAAAATTCAGTCTGGTCTAAGAGGTGTAAGTAGGAGTAAAGGAAAAATTACACTATGAATTGGAACTATTAAATTATCAAATATTCTTCCAAGGAAAGTGGTGGCAACATCATTTGGGAAATTTCAAACTTGACTAGACAAGGTACTAGAAAAAAAATATGGTAAAAGTACAGTCCTGCTAGAGTGGTTACACCAGAAAGATGATCCAACAGATATTTTCATTACATAAAGTCTGATTCAATGACAACTATGCTACACACAAACACACACACAGTGGAAGTGGTATGAAGAAAACTTAAGCATATCCTACAAGAGGACTGAAGAAATGCTGAAGAAGTGTACACAGGGTGCAGGAAAGCCTATGAACAAAAAGCTTTTGCAGTAAGAATTTCTCTCAATCTTCCTCACCTATAGGCAGTCGATTTTTTTTGTTAGCTGGGGTAGTTGCAGGGGAGAGTTGTGGGGTATTGTAAGGAGTCATTTCAAGGCTGCTACTTTTCCCGGGTTTGTTCTGGGGTAAGTTTGCCAACAAGTTTTCCAGAGCCATCCGATCTTCCTTCAGTTGGTCACTTGACATTACATTTCGCATAAAACCAACCTACAAAATTAGAGAGTTTGTATAATTAAGAAGGGAGCATGAAACTACATATTAACCTACTACACCCACTTATCTCTCTCTCCTGCAAGTATGTGCAGGAAAATATTACTCCTATTGAAGAACCAGGATATTACCAGATTAATAAGTTGGCTGTATGTCATATAAACCACAGTCCTACTCAACCCTTCTAGAAGGTTAACTGAGGACATCGGAGGGGTTTCCACAGCACGCCCACTAATAACAACATCCAGGAAAGCAGCAACACAGCTCTGAAAGGAGAAGACATAGGTTTTTTTAGTGAATGGTTTCAAATTTTAGAGCTACAGAAGAACACAAAGGTACAAGAGGTATATACATAATTTACATGGGAATATCAGTTTTGCTGCTTCTTATATGTATAGCAAATCAAACATCTTTTAGACAATGAAGAGTAAGTACAAAATTATGCAAAAAATTTAGAGTTCCCTTCACTCCACATCTGCATTTGTTTAAATAGATTCTGTAGTCCTCAATATTTAAGTACAGTTTTAAAAATGCTGTTATGCAGTGGCACTAGATGACTTAAACTAGCTCACAGTAATGAACTTGTATTTAAATTGTTCCTTCCTCAGGAACCAGCTGAGCATAGCTTACAAGTGAAACAAAATTATAGGGGACAGGGATAGGCAAGTAAGGGAACTGTCAATTTAAAAGTCACATCTGGCTCAATGTTTACCTAGGTTTCATTACAAGTAGCAAGAGAGATTGAAAGAAATGAGCAAAAAAGTTTGTTAGTTTGCTTTTTGCATTTGACAGCACATTGCGTAGTTAGTTTCGCTGTTTCCTCCGTAGAGTCAGTTCCCCTAGTGTGTGTGCATCCTTCATACGTTAAGAAAGGAGAGTAAACAATTTACTAAAAAGGGCGGGGGGTGAGGAGGAAGAGAGAGGAAATGAGGCAAAAAATTGACAGGAAGATCCATGGGCAGGTGTGCAAATTTTTTTTTTTAAATTGACTACATGGTGTCCCCTTAAATGAAAAGTAGTTTATGCTAAATTCAGCAGAGAAAATTATAAAAAAAAAAATATCACTTTGTATCTGTTTTAGAAAGTGCCATATTTTGACGTTTTGTTAATGTTGTCATTTAAGCAACAAGGTAGTGTGCGTCTAGTAGTCAGGAAGCATGACTCCAAGTTCTATTCCCAGCTCTGACCCTGACTGTATGTGACCATACAGATGTCACTTAACCTGTACCTCAGTTTGCCTACCCATAAATTAGATGTACTGCTCACCTACCTCATAAGAGGGCTGTGAAGCTTATTTGTTTGTGAAGTGCTTTGAGATTCTCAGATGAGAGGGGCTACAGAAAGGCAAAGTGTCAAATATGTACAGATGTACTGTTTTGTGACTCTTACTTTGTCAAATTTGCCAAGGTTGCTCTTCATGTGCGGATCTCCCTCTTCAGAACCTGTCATTGCCAACTGCTGCAAAAGTCTCCCGACCTAAAATGGAAAAAGAACACTTTAGGCAAATATTTCAGCAACCATAACAGAACAACAAGATAGATTGTAATACAGGAATCAAATGAGAAAGCTCTTCCATTTTAAACTACTATTTTTAATTTACATATAAACTTTCCCAGAGTTACTTTTGGGGCTAAAATTTCTCATACTTGTTCTTAGGCCCGAAGTAAAACATTCTATGTGGAAATATACTCAGTCCTGCCATGAGTGCAGGGGACTAGACTAGATGATCTCTCGAGGTCCCTTTCGGTCCTATGATTGTATGAAAGTTTCACTAAAAGCTATTTGAGTTATCTAAACAGGAAGAGTATTTTCTTCTATTAAGAAAACTGTACTTTTTTTTGCTCCCAACTCAAAGGCTGCTTTGTTTTAATTCCATCTTTCATTCAATGAACAAATGTATAATAGTACCTTATTTGAAATTATTTCATTATTTGTAAAAGAAATCCTAGCCAGTTGTTTGAATATTGCATGCGAAGCCGTTATTTTCCATATGTTTTTAAGCCTATGCTGGAGTATTAGGCTCTGATTCTTCACAGGAAATATGGAAGGGATGAGGGTTGAACCTAGAGGTCTTAGACCTGAAGATTTTTAAAGGCCATGTAAATTTTGCTAGACACACATGGAAAAAACACAAACCTCTGACTCAGTTTGTACACTGCTTAACATCTTTTTCCTGAAAAATAACCCTCCATAACCGGTCACCAAGAGGTTTATAAAATTGTGAGTCCTATAAAAATATACAAAAAATGATATCACAGGTGTATAAGTGATCCCTTGTTTTACAGCAGCATCTAAAGATCCCAGTCAGGATTAAGGCCCCCTTCTGCTATGCATTGTGCAAACATAGTAAAACACTCTCCCTGCTCTACAAAACTTACTGAAATGAATTTCATCAGTCAGTATATCAGTTACACTTACATACACTGATGCCATGTTTTGCCTCATGTACAAGGAACATGCAGTAGTTTTTTTAGTCAAATGAGTGCTATTTAATACCACTAATGAATATTAAGTTCCCAAAACATTTGCACAAAGACAATAAATTCTGTCACCTGAAGGCATATTCTAAAGTGTTAATACAGCGAGTAGTTGCCCAATAAGCAACATGATGTACATCCATTCAGAGGACAAAAGAGACAGACATTTAGCAGAAGTGCTAAATGACTTTGTTTCAATTTTCACCAAAAAGTTTAGTAGCAATTGGACATCTAACGTAGTGAATGCCAGTGAAGATTAGGTAGGATCAGAGGCTAAAATAGGGAAAGAACAAGTTAAAAATGACTTAGACAAGTTAGATGTCTTCAAGTCACCAGGGCCTAATGAAATACATCTTAGAATACTCACGGAGCTGTCTGAAGGGATATCTGAGCCATTAGCAATTATCTTTGAAAAGTCATGGAAGATGGGAGAGATTCCAGAGGACTGGAAAAAGGCAAATATAGTGCCAAGCTAAAAAGGGGGAATAAAGACAACCTGGGGAATTACAGACCAGTCATCTTAACTTCAGTACCCAGAAAGATAATTAAGCAAATAATCAAGCAAGCAATTTGCAGACACCTAGAAGGTGATAAGTAACAGTCAGCATGGATTTGTCAAGAACAAATCATGTCAAACTAACCTAATAGCTTTCTTTGACAGGGTAACAAGCCTTGTGGATGGGGGGAAAGTGGTAGATGTGGTATATCTTGACTTTAAGTAAGGCTTCTGATACTGTCTCGCCTGACCTTCTCATAAACAAAGTAAGGAAACACAACCTAGATGGAGCTACTATAAGGGTGGGTGCATAACTGGTTGGAAAACCATTCCCAGAGGGTAGTTATCAGGGGTTCACAGTGAAGCTGGAAGGGCATATCGAGTGGGGTCGCACAGGGATCAGTTCTGGATCTAGTTCTGTTCAATATCTTCATCAATGATTTAGATAATGGCATAGGGAGTACACTTATAAAGTTGCAGACAATACCAAGCTGAGAGGGGTTGCAAGTGCTTTGGAGGATAGGATTAAAATTCAAAATGATCTGGACAAATTGGAGAAACTGTCTGAAGTAAATCAGATGAAGTTCAATAAGGACAAATGCAAAGTACTCCTCTTAGAAGGAACTATCAGTTGCACACAACAAAATGGGAAATGACTGCCTAAGAAAGAGTACTGTGGAAAAGGATCTGGGGGTCATAGTGGATAACAAGCTAAATATGAGTCAACAGTGTTGATTGTTGCAAAACAGGGGGGGGGGGGGGGGAAATAATAATAATGGAAGGATTACCAGGAGGGTTGTAAGCAAGATGTGAGAAGTAATTCTTCCGCTCTATTCTGCGCTGATACAGCTTCAACTGGAGTATTGTGTCCAGTTCTGGGTGCCACATTTTGGGAAGTATGTGGACAAATTAGAGAGTCCAGAGAACAACAACAAAAAAGATTAAAGGTCTAGAAAACATGACCTATAAGAAGAGATTGAATAGGACAAGAAGCAGTGGTCTTAAAATGCAGAAAGGGCTGTTTAGGTTAGACATTAGGAAAACTTCCTAACTGTCAGGGTAGTTAAGCACTGAAATAAATTGTCTAGGGATGTTGTGGAATCTCCATCATTGGAGATTTTTAAGAGCCCGTTAGACAAACACCTGTCAGGGATGTTCTAGATAAGACTTAGTCCTGCCTGGAATAGAGGGGACTGGACTAGAAGACCTCTCGAGGCCCCTTCCAGTCCTACAGTTGTATGAAATTCTATTATTTCAGTTAGTGCAGATTAGCAAAAAATACAAATATGCTAGCAAAAGTGGAAGGGTATTAAAATTCACAAGCGCTGCTAGACCAGTTTTACAAATATTTATACTTTACAGCTCTCACCCTTATAAAAGCAGGTGTATTGCCTTTTAAAGCAGAGTTTAGATGTTTGCTATATATTTCTCAACTTCAACAGCGGCAATCAAAAACATCAATAAATGTCTTTTAAAACTCAACATTTTAAAACAAATGGGTATTCAAGCTTTAAAATTTGCCTCTTCAGAATCATAATAGCAGAAATATTTTTATATCAGTATTCATCATCTTATCCCTAGTAAAACCAGTAAAAATACTTTAACAATAGCCCCAATAAATGCTTAGAAGATCTCAGATATGAGGATAGTTTAAAAAATCCTCTACAGTCCTTTGCAACCTAAGGTTTGAAGGAAAGCTGACAGGTGTGAAGCAGAACGTAGTTCAGGCAGAAAAATCCCTTTGGAATGAATTTATTAAAGGGGGATCTCTATGTCCTAGTAAAGACGATAGGAAAGAATTTGGTAAAGTATAGACAGGAGCTAGTAAGGAACAGTCAAATGCAAAAGAGCCCCATTTAAATACAAAATGTACAAGTGTTTATATACAACTGCTAGATATCTAAATACAAAGATGGATGAACTACAATGCCTGGTATTAAATGAGGATATTGATATAAATAGGCATCACAAAAACTTAGTGGAAGGAGGATAACTGATGGGACATGGTAATACCCTGATTCAAAATATACAGGAATGACAGTAGGTCATACCGATGGGGCACTCTATGTGAAAGAAAGCACAGAGTCAAAGTAAAAATCTTAAATGAATAACACTGCCCCATAGAATCTCTCTGGATAGAAATTCCATGGTTGAACAATAAGTGTATAGCTGTAGGAATATACTACCAACCACCTGATCAGGATGGTGATGGTGATTGTGAAATGCTCAGGGAGAGGCTACAAAGAGGCTATAAAGGCAGAAAACACAATAATAATGGGGGATTTCAATTATTCTCATATTGACATGGTACATGTCACCTCAGGAAGGAATGGAGAGAAAAATTTCTAGACACCAAGGAGTAGCTTGTCCTGGTACCTACAAGGGGCGAGGCAAGTCTTGATTTAGTCATAAGTGGAGAATAGGATATGGACAGCAGTTAAATATAGTTGAACTGCTCAATAACAGAGACCATAATGTAGTTAAATTTAACATCCTTGTAGAGGAAAAAATGCCAAATAACCCCACCACAGTCGAATTTAACTTCAAAAAGGGGAACTGTACAATAATGAGGAAGTTAGTTAAACAGAAATTAAAAGGAACAGTCACAAGGGTGAAACACCGGCAAACTACAGGGAGACTATTTAAAAACACCATAATAGGAGGCTCAAACAAAACGTATACCCCAAATTTGAAAAACAAAGAACAGAACAGTAATAACAAAAAATGCCACCATAGCTAAACAGTGAAGTAAAAAGAAATAAGAGGCAAAAAAGGTATCCTTTAAAAATTGGAAGTCAAATCCTAGTGAGGAAAATAGAAAGGAGCATAGACTCTGGCAAGTCAATTATAAAGCAGGCCACGAAAGAATATGAAGAGCAACTAACTCAAGACACAAAAACTGACAACAAAAAAAGTTAACTACATCAGAAGTAGGAAGCCTGCCAAAACAATCAGTAGGGCCACTGTATGATTGAAGTGCTAAAAGAGCGCTCCAGGAAGACAAGGCTGTTGCAGCAAAGCTAATTAATTCTTTGCATTGTCTTAACTGCAGAGGATATGGGGGAGATCCCCACACACAAGCCATTCTTTTCAGGTAACAAATCTGAGGAACTGTCCCAGATTCAGGTGTCAATAGAGGAGGCTGGAACAAACAGATGAATACCATCTGGTCCTGGTGACTTATTACTATTAATTTTATCAAAGAGTTCTGAAGGAAGTCCAATACGAAATTGAAGAACTACTAACTGTGGTACATAACTCATTGCTTAAAATCAGCCTCTGTACCAGATGACTGGAGGGTAGCTAACGTCACATCAATTTTTTAAAAAGCTCCAGAGGCAATCCTGGCAATTACAGGCCAATAAGCCTAACTTCAGTACCAGGCAAACTGCTTGAAACTATAGTAAAGAACAGAATTATCAGACACATGCAGGAGCTTTGGAGCTGTGCTCCGGCTCCGCTCCAGCTCCAAGTAAAAACCTGCAGCTCCACTGCTCCGGAGCTGCTCTGCGCTCCAGCTCCGGGCTCCGCTCCAAAGCCCTGGACACATGGATGCTTTTGTAAAGGGAAATCATGCCTCACCATTCTATTAGAACAACCAGACGGGGTCAACATGCATGTGGACAAGGGGGATCCAGCTGATAAGCATACCTGGACTTTGAGAAAGCCTTTGATAACATCCCTCACCAAAAGCTCTTAATCAAACTAAGTAGTTATGGAATAAGAGGGAATGGTTCTCTCATGGATCAGTAAGTCGTTAAAAGATAGGAAACACAGGGTAGGAAAAAACAGTCAGTTTTCACAATAGTGTGAAGTAAATAGTGGGGTCCCCCAGGGATCTGTCCTGGGACCTATACTGCGGAAAAGGGGGTGAATCATGGGGTTGCAAAATTTGCAGATGATACAAAATTACTCAAGATAGTTAAGTCCAAAGCCGATTGTGAAGAATTACAAAGGGATCTCACAAAACTGGGTGCCTGGGCAACAAAATAGCAGATGAAACTCGATGTTGCTAAGTGAAAAGTAATGCACACGGGAAAAAATAATCCCAACTATACATTAAAATGATGGGGTCTAAATTAGCTGTTACCACTCAAGAAAGATCTTGGAGTCATCATGGATAGTTCTCTGAAAACATCCACTCAGTGTGCAGCGCCATCAAAACAAACAAACAAACAAACAATGTTAGGAAATGTAAGACAGATAATAGATCCTATAAATCCATGGTACGCCCATACCTTGAATACCAGGTGCAGTTCTAGCCGCCCCATCTCAAAAAACATACTAGAATTGTGAAAAGTACTGAGCAGGGCAACCAAAATGACTGGGGTATCCAACATCTTCCAGATTATTCAATTTAGAAAAGAAACAACCGAGAGGGAATATAGCAGAGGTCTATAAAATTGCGAAAGGCATGGAGAAAGTGAACAGGGAAGTGTTTTATTTACACCTTCACAGAACACAAGAATTAGGGGTCACGTGATGAAATTAATAGGCAGCAGGTTTAAAACAAACAAAAGGAAGTATTTCTTCACACAACACACACAGTCAACATATGGAACTCATTGCCATGGGATGCTCTGAAGGCTAAAAGTACAGTAATTCCCCACTTAACGTTGTAGTTATGTTCCTGAAAAATGCTACTTTAAGCAAAACGATGTTAAGTGAATCCAATTTCCCCATAAGAATTAATGTAAGGGGGGGGGGTTAGGTTCCAGGGAAATTTTGCTTGGTTGAGATGGTGGAGTCAGAGGGTGGGATATTTCTCAGGGAATGCCTTACTGCTAAATGATGAACTAGCACTCGTCTGAGCCCACAAGGGTTAACACATTGTTGTTAATGTAGCCTCACGCTCTACAAGGCAGCAGGAATGGAGGGAGGAGAAACAGCATGCAGAGAGTGACAGACCATGTGCGTGTGAGACACACACGCACTGCCCCTTTAAGTACGCTGACCCCACTCTAAGTACTCTACCTTTCTAAGTAGATCAGCAAGTTGAGACAGCAGCTGCTGCCAGCATGCTCCCTCAGTCCTGAGCCCTGTCATGTCCCACCCGCTCTGTGAAGATGGGGGGCAGGAGCGGGCGGACACCTTGACATTAGCACCCCTCTTCTCCTCCCCTCCCCCCCGCCCTCGCACAGCAAGCAGGAGACTCCCGGGACCAGCTCCAAGGCAGAGGACAGGAGCAGCACACGGCAGCGGGGGGAGGGACAGCTGAACTGCCCAGCAACTGATAGCCTGCTGGGTGGCTTAAAAAAGAATGAGACAAATTAATGGAGAATAGGTACATCAATGGCTATTAGCCAAGATGGTCAGGGACACAACTCTATGCTCCTGGTGTCCCTAAACCTCCAACTGCTAAAAGCTGGGACTGGATGACAGGATACATCATTCAAAATTGCTCTGTTCATTCCCTCTCAAGCTTCTGTCATTGGACACTGATGGAAGACAAAATACTGGGCTAGATGGACCACTGGTCTGACCCAGTACGGCCGTTCTTATCTGGTCTCATTTGTTTAGAGTAACATAAAAAAGGAAGTCATACCTGCATCAGATTAAATCTTGCCACCTCGTTTATTGGGGCATCAGAAATTATTCCATACTGTTCTGGGTTGACAACTGCAGGACAAATGAAACATGCAAGCAGAAGATCCGTGCACATTGCTCGCACCTCCCCACCCTCCAGCCGGTCTACACAGGAGAGTGTTTTGTACATTTGTGATAAAATCCATCTCAAGCTATGCGGAAAGCAGTATGTGTTCTGCTTGAGATAACCAATGAATTTGTTCACCAAAGCCACTAACTTAGCCTCATTGGAATCCACCATTTCTTGGACTTTTTGTTTGAACCTTTCAGTGCCTTTCTCCCCAAAGAGTTTTTCCTGTTGTGCGGGAGAGAACCTCTCGATCAATTTGTTTGCATCTGTTTCTAGGTGGTCTTCATCTTCCACCAGCAGCTGCATGATTGGCTCATGCAATGTTGCAGTGAGGAAGAGTTTTGCAGAAAAGAGTCCTTCAGAAAAAAGTTTGAATAAAATGCTGAATGCACAGGTGCCTCTCCTCAAAAGCCGTCTGGGATTGTCGCTTTCCTTTAGTTCGAATTCTATCAAGTAACGCAAAACTTGAAGGAGGTAGCTCTCATCTTCCTGCATGATGCAATTGCCATAGATGGAGGTAAAGACTGTGTAAATAACACTGTGTGTGTTGTCCTGGTTGAGTTTCTCTCCAGCAACCAGAGAGGAAGCAATAAGCCTAGGGTTCTCTCTCAACCTGTTGAGGAATTCTCCATAAGCAGTCTCTTGAAATCCCAACTGCTTGTACCCATCAACGAACTGTGTGTCCTCCAAGACTTTGGCATGCTGGCAGCATTCAGCAGGAGAAGCTTCAGCACTTCAGAGAAAAAACAGTGAAATAATTCAATTATTTGTAACAGGGCTGTCAAACGATTACAAAATTAATTGCGATTAATCACAAGATAAAAAAAGTCCCGATTAATTGTAGTTTTAATCATACTGTTAAACAATAATAGAATAGAATAGAATACCATTTATTTAAATATTTTTGGATGTTTTCTATATTTTCAAATATACGGATTTAAATTACAACACAGAATACAAAGTGTACAGTGCTCACTTTGTATTATTTTTTATTACAAATATTTGCGTGTGTGTGTGTGTTGGGGGAGCACTGTCTCTTTAAACGGAGCACTCAGAAACTTTAATGCTTTTTTCAGCCAGCAGCAGTTGCTGTTGGCAGCACTCACTCCTGAGCCAGCAGCAGACAGGCTCTCCCTGATCCCCCACCTCAGCTCAGTGGCGACTGGGTACACGGGCAGGAGGGGGATACCCCAACATAGGCCCTTCACCCCCACTTTGTGCAGCAGACAGGAGGCAGGCTCCCGGTCCGGAGCAGGTTGGCCAAGAGCAGCAGTGGAGCACAGGTATCCCTGTCCCAGAGCCATGTAGCAGCTTCCCCGCTCCCCCCAACCCCTTCCAGCACAGCGCCCTGGGCGGTAGCCTCCCTTGCACACCCCTAAGGCCGGGGTCTTCTCTCCTCCTCCCCCGGAAGGTGTTTAACCAGCTCTCCCAAATTGCCCGCAGTCTCTTCTCCCTGTCCGCCTTCTGCCCACTGGCACAGGCAATGCCTACCTCCCCGCCGCCACCGCATCCCATCTCCAGAGACATAAGATTAAGGCTCATTTAAAAAAATAACATGTTAATTTGTTTTGAGTTAATTGCATGCGGTAACTGCGATTAATCGACAGCCCTAATTTTTAATAGACAATTAAATCTAAAAGCAGCAGCATTCTGAATCTATTACTAGGAGCTCTAGACCAATGGTTTTCAAACTTTTTTCTGGGGACCCAACTGAAGAAAACTGTTGATGCCCCCGACCCAATGGAGCTGGGGATGAGGGGCTCGGAGTGTGGGAGGGGGCTCCGGGCTGGGGTAGGGGGTTGGGGTGCAGGAGGGGATCAGGGTTCTGGGCTGGGAGTGCAGGCTCTGGGGTAGGGCCAAGGATGAGGGTTTTGGGGTGCAGCAGGGGCTCCGGGGTGGGGCAGGGTGCAGGAGGGGGTCAGGGCTCTGGGGGTGCAGGCTCGGGATGAGGGGCTTGGGGTACAGGAAGGGGTTCTGGGGGGCGCTCACGACTGGGGCAGGGGATTGGGGCACAAGGTTGGGGCACGGGGTTACCTCTGGCGGCTCCCGGTCAGCGGCACAGCTGGGGTGCAGATGCAGGCTTCCGGCCTGTCCTGGCACCATAGACCACGCTGCGCCTGAAGCAGTCAGCAGCAGGTCCGGCTCCTACGCAGAGGTGCGCAAGCGGCTCCGCACAGCTCTCGCCCGCAGGCACCGCGCCTCTCCCTCCCCCCCAGCTCCCATTGGCTGGTAACTGGCCAGTGGGAGTTTGGAGCCAGTGCTTGGGGCGGGGGCAGCGCACGGAGCCCCGTGGCCCTCCCACCTAGAAGCCGGACCTGCTGCTGGCCGCTTCCAGGGCGCAGCGCGGTGTCGGAACAGGTAGGCACTAGCCTGCCTTAGCTGGGCAGCACCACCAACGGGACTTTTAACGTCCCATTCAGCTGTGCTGACCAGAGCGACCCAGTGCCTTACGTGCCGCAACCCAGTACTGGGTTGCGACCCGAACTTTGAAAAATGCTGCTCTAGACAATAGAGTAAAAAATACACTGCAAGAATTTTTCCTTTAAAAAAAAAAAAAAAAAAATTTAAAAGCATTAACACCTAAAAACTTTATTGTAAGTTTAAAAAAAAAAATTGTGAACATTAGTCAATGTATGAGCTTCATTACAACAACAAATTTGAGTGTTTAATAATAAAAACATAATTTCTTACTATGAACTACCAATCAGAAGGGATGCAACATATATACACACACACAAAGGTCAAAAATAAATAAATAAACAAAATTTAAAAAGGTAGAGTGTTTGAACTACCAGGAGTCACATCATATTTAAGAGCAAATCTGACACAACTCAGACTTCCTGTTTTAGAATAATTTTTAGAATGGTTTTATAGCCATTAAAATTTTATCATTAGAATCACCTGCTGTGCTCAATATACAGTATGAAAAGAATCACGGAATTCTTTTAATTCACAAGAGTTTAGGAGTTCAATTTCCCACAAAGCATTTATCACCTTGTTATGATAAGTCTGTCCAAGTTAATCCTTTGCTGCTTGGAAATCCATGCTGTGTGGTACAGTTTCTCAGCTGTCTTCAATACATCTGCATTTAATCTCTGAATAAGTTGCTTTTCTGAGTTTACATAGAGTCGTTCCTGCTTGAGGTGATGAGCCAGAGTGTGAATATCCAGCTTCACCATCTTTGAGGGTGAGAGGACTACACAGTACTCACTGCAAAAGGAAAAATACATGAAGAATTTCACATTATATAGAGCTGCTATTTTTTAAAACTCCAACAGACAAAAAGAATTTGAATACTGAAAAGTTATCAAAAACTTCTTGATAAAATTTAAGAACCAGTGATAATTGTAAGTTTATGACTTACTGTATTTACAGTACCTACCTATCTTTGATCCCTATTTTCCTCATGGATCCCTACTTTCTTCCTGGACTGTATTTTCTAAATGGACAACGAACCTAATTCTCAGTTACTGAAGGACAATCTCCACTCATTGATATATTTTGCTTTCCACAACCAAATCTCTGTACAACTTTTCATGAGGGATGTAGCCGAGTACTCGGATTCTAATATCTAAACTGTATTGTTAAATCTATTCACCTCAATTTGGGTTATTGCTGATTATGTACTCTATGTATCATATGACTTTAAAAACAAACTTTGTATTTGTGGACAATCTAAACACTCTACCCAGATGTACAGACACTTTTCTGAACCTATGTATTCTATAATTTTTTTAACATTAGCTTTTAATAAAAATTTTAAATCTAGCCCCACCTCCCAAACCCCAGGCAACATCCCTAGTTATTGGGCCATCCTTCATCACTGTAAAACACTTCAAATTCATAATGTCATCTTCAAAATTTCTCACATGCACTTGCAGGGTTCAGTGACATCATATTGGCCAGTTCCACATACATTAAAGCTGCCCTCAGCTCTGGTAACTTAAACATTACTCTGTTTTCACTAATAACGGTGAAGCTCTCCCCAAAGTGCCACACTGGGGTGAGGGGAGGTGGGGGAGGGAGAACACCCTCAGGATTACCCTTCTAATTTCTAATGGTGGAGGCCAGCATGATGACACTCAGACTCAGGGAGGTAGAAGGGGGAAAGGAGTCCCATTTTGACATATTATATGGTCAGGTCAGTGCTCAGTGAGCAAAGGAGTACATGTGAATAAGATTTATCAGAACACATACTAAGCTATGCTGCAGTTTAAAATAAGTGTTTGGGTCTAGTAGCCCCATGACCGACAGAAATTCCTGCTTTCATGTGAAATAAAGAGGATTCTGTCTTCTACACTATTCAATTTGCCTTTTCTGCTAAAGAGACTCTCATAACTAGCACCACCCATACATAAACATGCACAGAATGCATTGCTATTCAATAGTAGAACTCATTCAACAAGGTCTCCTCGAACATCCCAACTCACAGGAATGTACTTGCGGGCCATGATCCAGAAATTCTCTAAATGACAAAACAAACTGAAGAAACCTCAGTTGGAAAGGAAATCTGCACAGTCCATTACAGTACAACAGCAGCTAAGTATTTAGTGAACAACTTATTTGCTTCTTAATGGCTAAATAAACCAAAAAAGTATCATAGTATTTAAAATCTTTCATGATGTTAGAAATTTAAAGGGGGAGAGGGATAGCTCAGTGGTTTGAGCATTGGCCTGCTAAACCCAGGGTTGTGAGTTCAATCCTTGAGGGGGCCACTTGGGGATCTGGGGCAAAATCAGTACTTGGTCCTGCTAGTGAAGGCAGGGGGCTGGACTCGATGACCTTTCAAGGTCCCTTCCAGTTCTAGGAGATGGGATAACTCCATTAATTAAAAATGAAGGTTGATAAGAAGTGTTTGCCAAATATGTAACTATATGATGATATAATCAGATATTGCAATATTAATCAGATGCAACTTGTCTAGTTTAGGATTTAAAGGTGTGATCTTTGCACCTGTTAACTAACATGTCCTAACTATCCAATTAAAACGTCTAGATAGATAAGGCATACTGCCATTGACATGTGATAAAATGGTCAAGTTATTCAAAAGAAATTTCCCTTTTTCCTCTATTTATTTAAATTAAGATGTTAAAGGATCATTTGTGAAAAACATATTAACATGGACAATATAATTTGTGTAAGCACAATTACAGAGAAGAAAACTGAGCAGCCATTAACCGCACCTGATTTCTTACAAAGAAAATTACCTTAGCTGACCCCTCATTTCCTCACCATCAGATGTAGCCCTTCTTGAGTGTTAGTATGGTAGGAAGAATTATGACCAGCTCCACCACCCTGTATATGTTAGAGCACCCAAATACTATGGTGATGGGCACTTAAATACAATCATAAATGGAATGCCGGTCTGTTCCCTATCAGCTCTAGCACCTTCAGTGAAGCCTGATCTCACAATGCTACTTGCTCCCACACTCGGGGAACGCGAGTATGATTTATGATTTGCAGGCATATCACTCTCCTCTTTGTACTCCTTTAAAGATCTTTCCAGCCACACCAGGACCTGCACTAAACCACAGGATCCTTTCCAAATAATATTTATTAGCTTCCCTAACTGGGCACAGAATTTTTAAAAGAAACCCTGATGGTTCAAGAGCATGGGTCACCAACAACTACTACCCAAGTTCCCTCACCTATGGTTCAACTTGACAAGCAAAACCCTATCATCCAAAGGAAGATAAGCCATAAATAGCTGTCATCTATAATCTTTATATATAGAAATGTCGGAACACCAACTTACAAAGCATTTTCTAAGCTTGCAAAGGAGACTCAGAGTATCCTTAACAAAAATCAATCCAAAGGCTGTAGTTCATGCTGAGATCATCTCTACTTGAAGGTGATATTAAACCAAAAGAACAAGGAGTCCGGTGGCACCTTAAAGACTAAGATTTATTTGAGCATAAGCTTTTGTGGGTAAAAAAACCCATTTCTTCAGTTGCATCTGAAGTAGTGGGGTTTTTTACCCACGAAAGCTTATGCCAATATAAATTTGTTAGTCTTTAAGGTGCCACCGGACTCCTCATTGTTTTTGTGGATACAGACTAACACGGCTACCCCTCTGATATATTAAACCAAAAAAAGACTCCAAGAAGAATACATAGTACCTTTACAAAAAGTTTTAAAGGTGACTGCCTCATTAAACGAATGGAGAAGTTCTATTAATGTGACAGAACTGTGCCAGCAACATAAGGTTTCTAACAAATGATTTCTTGCAACAAATTATTCTTACAATAAAAATCAAGAAATAGATTATAAATACCTATGTTAAAGCAACTTCCAGGTGACCAGAAAAAAAAAGAGGTATATAGTGACATACGTCATTGTATTCCTCAGTTTTTACAAGGTATTGCAGCACATGGATCTAAAACAAGATAGCTATAACATACAAATTTTGATATATATAACCACATCAGGATGAGTTAAAGAGCTGCCTACGTACTTTTATGGCCCTCATCTCTACAGTACCCAGGCACCATGGCGTAGAATTATTAATTCATTTTAACTCGTTCTGGATGAGAGACAATGCACTGTGTACGTTTTGAGGGGAGGCAAGTTCCTAGTTTTGCAAAGTTCCCCTATTATAGATGACATTTTATAATTAACCTGCATCTGATGAGTTTCAGATCCCTAAAGTAAAATTACATCTCAAATACTTGCATAGGGTTTCACAAAGTCTCTGTTTTTAATAGTGAAAACAATCTCTTGTTGAGCTTGTACATTTCAACCTTGCACATGCACTACAAAAGGTTTTTTTGTTCAAAGGGGACTGTACAGCAAGAGTGTGTGTGTGCACGTGCGTGCGCACGCATTAAAGAATAAGGAACATTTTCATTAGATTTTACAAACTGTTATTAGGGAGAAGTTTTACTTTGCAAAAGCAACCTCTTTCACGATGGCAACTGAAATACAGGAAGACTATTCAATGCTTTTCACCACCAATTAATAGTTGGTATAATTTAAAAACGGGGCTGGTATGCTTTTACTTAGTATTAAAGACTGTAGGATAAAGAGATCCATTTGAAAGTTGCATTTTCAATTATGTAAAGACATACTATTTGGAACCTGGAGTAGGTCAAAACACTTTTAAAATGTTTTTTTATTAAACTAAACATTTTTGCTATGTTATTTGGAAAGCTATTCATTATTCTAAGGACTTAATTTGCTCACCTTTTGAATAAGAGTTTTATTTTTGTGACTAAAACATAAGATTTTTTTATATGATAAAATCCCTGCAGTTAGATTTAGTAGTTGGAAGCAATAATGCAAATTCAGCTTTGGTAAGAAGGAAGCCAGCTATTTCTTCACACGCTCCTCTTGTTTGCTAGTCATAACATTACCTTCAACTGTGGAGGAAATGAGAAAGTATAACCAGAAAGTTATTTATGAAGAAAAGACTGCCAATGATAGCTCTCTGAAAAGCTAAAAGATCAGTGCACTCATCTTTCCTTCACAAAACTGTACTGAAAAAAAAGCAAGAAATATCCTTAAACTAGCGTTAGAAAGGTGAGTCAGGACTTCAAAGCAGTTAAATAACTTTAAGGCAACTCTGAGAATTTGCATACAATACAAAAATCTTCTGACAGTCCTAGATTCCTGGGATCCCTTGATATACAACAGAGGACCTACTTGGAGTTCAAAGTGACAACAGCATTTTAATTAACTCAAGCACAAGGCGAGCTGGAGTTCCGACTGACTATTTAACCACATTTTCTCCAGAAACATACCTGGCCAAATTCAGTGCCAACTTGATTTCCTGAACTGGATGCAAGTCAGCACAGAATTTGGCCCAGAGTGTCTGAAAGCTGAAGCAGACAGCAAGATGGGAGTGTAAATTCTTTGGGAAATAAACAGCAAAAATATAGGAAACAAATAATATTTTGGACTTAAGGCCAAATTCCAGTTATTCACTTTGGAGTTGCATGGCACACAGGAACGCAGAATTTGGACCCAGAATGCTTTCAAGGGCAAGAGCTTTCAAACATACTTTCCATAAAAGACAGACAGCATATTTCCAACCCCACTAGCTTAGTTATGAGGCAGGGGAAAAAAGCATTTATCAAAGTTCATTGTCCACAGCTTGAAAGCCAGGACTGCAAGTTAATCAATATGAAACAGGTCATATTAACTTATTTATTTGGTTGGGGGGGGGAGGGGTGAAGGAGTGAGGTGGATACTTCAGAAAACAGGAAAATTTA